GGGTAAGTGGTTATGGATACACTAACGGGCGGATTCACTGGACTGGTTGTCACTACGGTAGAGGCGGCGGTATTCGGTGTACTAGTAACTGGTGGGTTGCCATTGTTGCCGGTGCCTCCTGGCATCGTAATTTGGTCGGTAAACGGTAGCGGAAGATAGACTAAGGGCTCAAATGACAACGGCCTTCAGCGGCTAGTTAACAGCAGGTTCGTTAGCAGGCTTACGGTTACGGTTACACTCGGCGGTACGGTACGGTTAAGATTCGGAATGTTTTCGGCGGCGGTCGGAAGAAAAAAATAAAAATAAATAAAAATATTCAGGTGGACGGTGGCTCAAGACTGACCAAGTGATCAGGTTGACGGTCGGACGGTAAGTGTTTGGAAAATATTTCGGTGGACGATTGAGTCTAGAGTGGCCAAGTGATCAACTCGACGGTCGGGCGGTAAGTGTTGAAGTGTTCAGCTTGACGGTCTGACGGTAAGTATCTGAAAACTATTCGGGTTGATGGTCGGACGGTGAGTGTCTAAAGTGCTCAAGTGATCAAGCGATCAGGTTGATGGTCGGACGGTGAGTGTCTGAATCTCGCGTAATCGTCTTGCCATATACTCCCTTGCGGTAGTAGGGAGAGGTTCGACCACCAAAAGTTGGTGGGGATTTTTACGGAAAACCTCGGAATTTTGAGAGATGTGGCAACCTCTGCAAGATACAGTTATTCCCTCCAGGGAATTAGACTCGGCAACCTCGAATTAGTCGGAAAAGATGTGTAACTCGGTTTGCGCATGCGCAAAATGAATCGGGCAGAAAAGAGGTTCGGTCTAGGTGGATCGGTTCTCGGATAGCGCAACTTCGTTCGGGCGGAAAAGGGGTTCGGTATAGATTGATCGGTTTTCGGAGAGTGCGGCTTCGTGAAACTGGCGGCGGACGGTTGGATTGTGTCTCACTACATTAGGGAGACTATTTACAGATGGAGAAATTGAAATCAGCTACCGTGGATTACGTGTAAAGGAGCGGATGCTCAGATTTTGGCCCGCGCATGCGTGCACAATACTTCCCAAAACGGAGGACTTCGGTCCAATACGGTACGGTTTACAGGAACTCTTTTTCCACGGTCGGACGGCATTGGTTAAGACTCTCAGGTCCTGGGGCGGATGATAAGGCACGCGCGGAACTGTCCCAAAAGGAGCGGTTTATTTGCTCCGGCGCTATGCGGTCTAGCAATCACATAAAAATCGGTACGGTAACGGTCAGACCTACGGGTGTCGCCAAAACAAACGGCCTCTCGGTAGAAATGGGGACTGGTGATGACGTAATCAACTCGGTCATGTGCTGAAATCATGGACATGCGCAGAACGGTCCCTGCTCGGGCGCCAAATTTATAGCGCTACTTTGGTTTTCCAGGAGGAAAGCGGTTGATTTCGGAATTTTCGGAAAACTCGGGCGCCACCCTTAGGATTAATGTGGTTAAGGGCCCACGTGCTCTAGGTAGCTTTTAAACAGTGGAGACGGAAAACCAGGTGTCCCTACGCATTTCCCAAAAATGAAACACACAATCCAACCAAGAAAGTAGTTTTTATTGACTACCCAATAATTTATAATACAAAAAGGAAATGCAAGAAAACTTAATTAAGATACAGGTTTTATAAAAGGAAATGCTAAGCGGAGAGTGAGGGGGAGCGAACGAAGTGCGTGTGCGTGACGGATTAGTCGCGTGAATTTAACGGTTCGAGATTACGGTACGGTGACGGTTACGGTAACGGTTAATCGGCAAAAGAAAGCTCCAGGAACCAGGATCGGTCCAGTATCTACACCGTCAGCTTGCAGGATTAGGCCTTTGGGCCTCGTGCGCGAATTTCTTACTCCGAATAGAATGCAGGTCAGAGAGAATAGGTGTGAAGAGTAAAGAACACTACCCTGGTCGTATCACAGCCCGTAGCCCTATTTACTCTGTCACGGAACGAACGGAGCTGCCCTGTTTATGTGTTCCAGCCCGCAGTTCCGGTCACTCCGTGCACAGAAGAGAGAAAGAAGAACTGTGTAGAATAAAGCGCGCCACCCTGATACCAGCCCGTAGCGTGCGTTATTCTGCCACGGAATGAACAGAGCTGCCCTGTTTAGGTGTTCCAGCCCGCAGTTCCGGTCACTCCGTGCACAGAAAAGAGAAAGAAGGACTGTGTAGAATAAAGAGCGCCACCCTGTCACCAGCCCGTAGCGTCCTTTATTCTGTCACGGAAGGAGCAGAGCTGCCCTGTCCGTATTCCAGCCAGCAGCTCCGGTCAACCCGTGTACAGAAGAGAGAAAGAAGAAATGTGTAGAATAAAGAGCGCTACCCTGTCACCAGCCCATAGCGTCCTTTATTCTGTCACGGAAGGAGCAGAGCTGCCCTGTCCGTATTCCAGCCAGCAGCTCCGATCAACCCGTGTACAGAAGAGAGAAAGAAGAAATGTGTAGAATAAAGAGCGCTACCCTGTCACCAGCCCGTAGCGTCCTTTATTCTGTCACGGAAGGAGCAGAGCTGCCCTGTCCGTATTCCAGCCAGCAGCTCCGGTCAACCCGTGTACAGAAGAGAGAAAGAAGAAATGTGTAGAATAAAGAGCGCTACCCTGTCACCAGCCCGTAGCGTCCTTTATTCTGTCACGGAAGGAGCAGAGCTGCCCTGTCCGTTTTCCAGCCAGCAGCTCCGATCAACCCGTGTACAGAAAAGAGAAAGAAGAAATACCTGCATTCTCACCCGTACTTACATTAAACGGTCGGCTAACATCTGGCGTCGCGACGCTGCTGACGGCGGCGGTATTGGCGGCGGCGGCGGTGGTTTTACCTTATCGGTCGGCTGCGGCAGGTCGGAGCGGTCTGGTAGGTCTGGTCGGTTTCGGAGCTCGGAGAGAAGTGACCAAACGCAGTGCGTGCTGCTATATTTATAAGCGGGAGGCACCGCGTCATGTCGTCGTCGATCGGCAGCGCAGATATCAGCGGTGGGGAATTGAGTTTTTGAAGCGCGTCGCGCACGTCGGTTTGTACTGGAGAGTGCTTTGCAACCGAGGTCACGCGTAGCCACAAAATATCAGTAGCAAATTAATTTAATTAACGGAAACGCGGATAAATTAGTAAAAATCTAGTAACCTACGTTACATGGGTTTTACCTGTAGGGCAGTTTTTTGTAAATAAATAAATAAATAAATAAATAAATAAATAAATTCTGAGGGAAATTCAAAAAAAATGAACCCCCCAGGCTCAAATTTTATGAAATCTTCATTGGTGCAAACTGCATTCTGATATCTTTGACTGTTTTGCCCAGAGGTCCCGCCACCATTTTGTGCCTCACTTCTTGCTGATTTTAAATAGGAATATATAAGATTTAAATGGACACACAAAATCGCTGCGTTTTCAATATGAATATATGCGATTTTAACGAACTGATCAAAAATAAGACTGAAATTGTTGTCACTGTGGTAATAGAGCCACTGTACTAAGCAACATTGTAAAGGCTTCACGCAGACAGCACATCAAGCACGTATTTTTTAGGTATGCACCATGCCTGAAGAACAAAAATGATATTTTGAAAATGCCCATAGGATATCGAAAATTCACATCCTAAAGATAACTATTTGGTAGAACCAGGCCTACAAGTAAATAATGATTTAGGTTTAAAAAAAAAAAAATTCAAAGATGCCTTTAAGACATCTCGTTGAAGATGTCTTCAAAATGTCTTAGTCCTAAAGACAACTTTAGGCAGAAGTCTGGGAGACTTCAAGATGTCGTTAAGACACCTTAAAGACATAAGTAATAAGTAAGATGACTTGAGTTTCGTTTGTGAACATTTTAGGGATGTCTTTAAGATGTCTACAAAAATTTCCCACCAAATCTGTTACCCATTCAATTTAGAAGTTACTGGAAACCCTTTTGCTACTCAACACTTCAGAGTTTTAATAGGCTTTTTGGAAAGTTCAAAACACTTAAAATTCAATTCAGAATTTTCAAAAGCATTCTGTAGCACTTCAGAACATTTTGGGAATTTTCAGAACCCTTCTAAAATGTCCTAAAACATTCAAAAACCTATTTACAATTCCCAAAAGCATTTTAGAACAATTCAGATATTTGAAACCCATTTTAAAATGCTCCAAACAAAACACTCAAAAACTCTAGAATCTCCAGAAACATGCTATAGAACTTTAGACCTTTAATAAGCATCCAAAACAGTTCGAATCCAAATCAGAATTTCCAGGAACATTTTGGATCATTTGAGAAACTTCAGAGTTATTTTAGAACAATGCGGATTCAATTTAGAACTGGAAACCTTTTAGAGCTGTTTTGAACCAATTGACAACACTTTGGAGCTTCAATAGAGCTCAATACTTGCTTGAAAATCTGTCAGAACAATTTAGAAATTACTGAAAAACTTCTAGAATGTTCCAGAACTCTTCAAGCCAAAGTAGAACAATTTAGAACTTCAATGTGCTATTGAAAATGGTCCAGCATTCTGGGTACCTACAACATCCAGCTGGAAAATTTCCCCACTTCAACTTCATTCTCAGGAAAAAAGGAAACTTTTAGGATAGGAAAAAATCTCGGAAAAAATACTTAAAACAAAGAACCATAATTACTAGTTGAATAATAGAATAATCACATTTTCAAGCATGCCAAAAATTCTAGCATCTTCTCTCAAGGTAATCCGTCCCAATTATGGGATTTTCTGAAACAGGAAACGGGACTATTGCACAACAATAAAATTATCGGCATCATTAACCGCAACGTGCTTTTTTTGTTGATAAATACCTATAATTTTACAATATCCCATTCGCCTCCAATTTAAAGTTTACTGTATGTGGTACCTGTAAAAGCCATAAACAAAGCTTTTTTTCAGGTAGTCCTTCTTCAAACACAAACAACAGGTAGCAGCCATAACCCTCTGAGAGAAAATATAATTTTGGTTGATTCCGTACTAAATTCGGCTGATAATTTACAATTTATGTGATAGAAAGTAAAGATACTTTATAGACACTCACCCAGAACCCCTAAGTTGGTATTTTTATTGCATACTTTAGTAAAAAAACTCAAGATAGTTTTTTGCATCCGCCAGAATTCCTGGAACCACACCACTTGTTGCACTTACTTCTCCTCACTTGCTGGGGTGACTCATCGATAATAGAATTCATCTCAAGAAAGCGGCAAACTAGAGGATGACCCTGAAATTGCATCTCTTCTTTTTCTTTTTTTGAGTAGGCGTGTTCAGTGAAGAAAGATAAAACAACAGCCAGGGTTGCGTTCGAGAACCTGGTTGTTGGTGTGAAAATTATTTCAAGGAGTGGGGTCCGACACACTTCGGTGTGCGAATCTTGCTCCGAGTTCGTTTACGTTTGTTTTTATTTAGGGTGTTCATTTGTACTGCTTTTCTTGCTTCAAGCAGATCGGCGTTCACTTGTCCCATATATAAGCTCATTAATAGCAACAAATCTTTTTGATTTTTCGAGCAGGTAGAGCAAGTACAAAGAACAGCCTTTACGAAATCTTGACGTCACGAGCGCTGTCATATTGAAACCTCGCGTTTCCACGCCAAAATTTTTGGTTGAATTTCAATAAATTCTTTCACGTACAACGGAATGGAAAAAAGAAAACTATGCAATATCTGAGGCGTTTTCTAACGTCCACTTTTTTTGAAACTGGTTCAAAACTGTTTTAGAACAGTACATTCTCGCGATAAACCCATGACGGCACGTCAAAACTGGTTCAAACCGTTTGGAAGTACAATCCAATCCACGTTTTCAAACCGAGAAATTATGACGTCATGGTGACATTGCTTAAACCAGTTTTGAAAAATGTTTTGAAACATTTGAGACGCGAGAAAACGCCTCTGATCACTAGAAGTATCTATTTAAAAATAAATAAATTGAGAAACATGAAAATCTCCTATTGTGTGATTTCATTACTGTGATTTGCTTATATAAATATTAATATGGTCAATATGTAAGAACAAGTTTCTTTAGAAATATGTCGACACATTATTGTGGAAAACGAACAAGATGCAGAAGGCAATTGGCTAATTTTAGACAAACTTGGTCAACTTGGTAAGTAAACCACTCGGTCACCGTACGAATACCTAGAGCAAGATTCGCACCCCGAACTCCGAAGTGTGCGGACCTCCACTCCTTGAAATAATTTTCACACCAACAACCAGGATCTGGAACGCAACCCAGCCGAACAATCGTGAAGCGTTCACTATCAGTCATTGCTATCAGCAGCCTATACTGATGACGTCAACCGCAGACCTCGATGGAATACTTGCTATTGAGGCTGTGCTAGTGAGTTATTTTTTTCGTCGATTCTAAATGTAGAAAAGGTGATTTTCGGTCTGTTCTCACAGAAGAAATTAGTGTTCTTGATCCTCGAGTATCCCGGAATTTGATGTTGTAATCCAACATCGATTTGCTTGATTATATATCCTCGCGAAAAATTGCCTAGTTGTTTTGGTTTCACTCGCACTAGTTCGGAATAATTCTGCATATGCGCATGTTATTAAAAGCGTTTTCGTTTTTTCAGAATCCTAATCGAAATGTATTGGTATAGCATTTTGGATTATTCAGAACAATTCTGGGATTGTTCTAGAATGGATAATTCTTGCTCTGAAGGAGGAACTGTTTTGAAATTTTGTGATTTGCGGCTTGTTTTGTTTTGTTTTTTTTTGGCTGTTCTGCGCAATCCCAGAACCGTTCCAAAATTCGAACCAAATGCTTTGTTTGGGGTTAAAAAGAAGGACGGTTCTAGAACGGTTAAAAATATTTCTGTCTCGATTATTTGTCTATTCCCGGCTTTTGAATTTGTCAAAAGCCTGGAATAGAATAAGCAAAAATGTCTACCATTTTTTCTCAATTTTTCTACATTTCTTCTCTATTTTTAATTCTCAGTTTTTGTCTATTCCCGTCTCTTGAATTTTCGTTTTCTTTAAATTTGTCGAGATAAACAAAATTTAAATGCCTGGGATAGAGATTTTTCGCATGGAAAATTCAAGGATGATACACAATACTACTACAGAATAGACTATCCTTATAAGGCCTGTGTGGAACAAATCCCCTCTTTCCCCCCACGATGCCAAATCACCAGTTGTGACGTAGCAGCATGTAATTTCTCGCCTTGACGTAGGCTGTTTAAATAGCTGACAACTTAGTTATGACGTCGGAAATGGTGACACACCAATATGGCGGCGATTACCAACAACGAGGACAATAAGCAATCCTTAGAGTGTGTATTCTCTTTGAGGATAATCAAGAATAATCGATTATGCTGGGATCAATGAACTAGAGCTAAAAACTGGAATGCGCACACAGTGCCATATCTGCCAAAAAAATGAAGCCATGAAAGACAGATGCCACAAAGGGGAATGTTGTTTTTTTTCTGTTGCTCGCTGACATAATATGACGTTTTCGAAAGTTTTGTCATATATTTCCCTTCACAGGTTTCATCAATTGGAATACGTGTTGGAAGCAATTTTCGCCATTTAACATAATGAGTGCGACAAAAACAGGTATCCCCTCCGCAGCAGCCGCACTAGGCTTCACGTTCGTCCTTATGTGTTAGCATTCCAGTTTTTGGTTATAGTTCATTGGCTGGGATTATGTGATGTGTCAATTGTCTCGTACTCCCCTAACTCCCCCGCCATCAAATTATGGGATACTCGAGGATCGGGAACACTTAACTTCTGTTAGAACAGACCAAAAATCACCTTTTCTACATTTGAAATTAACGAAAAAATTAACTCACTAGCACAGCCTGAATCGCGAGCATTCCATCGAGGACTGCGGGTGACGTCATCACTATAAGCTGATAATAGGGAGGTCACTCGCAGGCCCAAAATTTGTTAGGGTGGGGGAGTTAAGCCTAGTACTCATTACTGCGAAATTCGCATTTTTTTGACATTGCGTTGACAATTTGACGTTTTATGCGTGTATCAAACGTCAAATTGTCGAAGCAATGTCAAAAAATGCGAATTTCGCAGTTATGAGAACTAGGCTTTAGTATGACACAATTGACATATCACATAACCCAGTATAATCAGGATTATGCTTGGCTTGATTATTGTTCGCAAAAATTGCCTTTTGTTGAGGCACCTCAGATGACGTTGTGAAGTTATTCAGGCAACCTACCTCTCTCAAACAACCTTGCAGAAAATGAATGTCCTCCTGCCTGATCATTTAGGCTATGGTCCGAATATAAACCAGGGTGAACCAGAGTTATGGTTTTGCGGTCCGAAAGTAATCAAATTACGCTGATTCCTGGAGAAGTTAAGTTGTTATTTTTGGAATTTGGTTTCCTGAAATCTGGCTTACCAAATGTCAACATAAGCCAAGGATGATACACACTACTACTACAGGATAGCCTATCCTCATAAGGCCTATGTCCCATATATTCATATGGAAAACACCGTCATTTTGTGCCCAACCTCTTGGTCCTCTTGCTACTTTTAAATATGAATAATATATAGGATTTAAATGGACATCCATCATAATTAATCATAAAAAATTGAAAACAACATATCTGATGACTATAATTAGGCACATCAAATACGTTGTTTTCAATTTTTTATGATAGATGTCCATGTCCTATATATTCATATTTGAAAGTAACAAGAGGTTGGGCACAAAATGGCGGCGGGACCTCAATTGTCACCACTGTATGTAAAGGTTTATTTAGCCACTGTACTAAAACGAGGCCGATAAGCAATCCTGTAAGTTGTGTATCATCCAGGGCTAGTAGCTGCGTACGTTTTTACGTAGTTTTTGGTAATCACCGCCATATTGGTGTGATACCATTTCCGACGTCATAACTGATGAGTCGTCAGCGTTAAAACAGCCTACGTCAAGGCAAGAAATAACATGCTGCCTACGTCACAACTGGTATTTTGGCGTGTGGGGGGAAAACGGGGGGATTTGTATCTTTCATAATTGGATTATACATACTGCTTATGATTGAATGAATTGAAAATTGAATAAAATTGAAACTACAAATTTTGTATTTTGAAGCACTAGTGCAGGCAGCTGCCTTTTGGTTGGAGTGGAACTGGAAACTCGTTTGTTCTCCTCTACAGGGCGGAAAATTTTTTCATATCAAATTATCAAAAAATCAAAATATTTATTTTTCCAAGTGCGGGAAATACCATAGCCGCTTTCCAGTATGCACATTGGCGCGCTCTAGAGCACTCCGGGAGCGCCACACATTAGATTTGTACCGTTCCAGTATCATGACGCATGACGTTTGTCCGTACGTATAGCTCGGGAGCTCAACGCTCCGGGTAGCTCCGAGTGTCACACTCCCGTACTGGAAAGCGGCTCTTTTCTCGCAAGTGTTAAGCCTAGTACTCATAACAGCGAAATTCGCTCTTTTTTAACATTCCTTCGACAATTTGACGTTCTATGCGTGAATCAAACGTCAAATTGTCGAAGCAATGTCAAAAAAGAGCGAATTTCGCGGTTATGAGTACTAGGCTTAAGGAACACAATTTTTCTCAAGGGTGTGCGGAAAGATTACTCTGTGCATGCCAAAAGTTTATTTTCCGCACATTCGTAGGAAAAAAACGGATCATCTTGGCGTTTCTGATTGGTAGATCTGTGCAGAACTAGTGCAATTTTTTCTATTCCTGTCTTTTTCTTCTACAGGTCGAATAAAAGGATGCAAATACACTCAGTGCGCACTGAATCTATCAATCGGAAACGCCATTAGTTTCAGGTTTCAGGTCTCTAGAAAATGGCAGAGATTATCCTGTTTTCAATCCCTAGTAGGACTGCTTATTGAGCTAAAAGTCTCTACACTGCTATGTCAGCTGCATACCTCAACTTTTGGAGTGAAATTCCGAAACGTTAAAATCTTGTTGCAATCACCTTTTCTATATTTAAAACATTTAAAATCGACGAAAAAATCAAATTACGAGCACAGCCTGAATAGCAAGCCTTCGATCGAGGGCTGCGGGTGACGTCATCACTATCAGCATTTGTGACGACGTCACTCGCAGACCCTGCGTGCTCAAGAATTGGTGAACCTACACCTTACTAGAAAGAGCAATCCTGTTTACGATTGTTGTATAAAAATGTCGAAAATTCCAACAAAATCCACTTTCATTGCACAAACAAACTAGCATCTGCAAAAAGTTTCTATCTGACGATTGAAAAATAAATAATTCTCGTCAAAAATCATTTTCTGTAACTTGAAACTTGAAAACATTACCTACATATTTTAAAAACTGCTGATTGCATCACTCGTTAAACAATAAACATTGTCCGCACATGTTAGGAAAATCTAACCCAAACAAAATAATATACTTTGACGTCAATTTGGCAACGCAGCACTCCTTGCCTTAACCTTTAAGAATTGTTTTGGGGCTAGAGTCGCTAGCACCAAGCTCTTGTTATGAATATCAAGTCATCCCTGTAGTAGTAGTCTGTATTACAGAGTCTGCATCATCCTTTCCTCTTTCAAACCAAGGATTTTCAAACAATGTTGATTTTGGAAAAACCTTATCGATACACATATCGATATGACAAATTCGTATCGATATGCACGACAGAACAACAAAACAAAGCCAAAGCTTGGTTATGCTACACTTTACATTACAGTTATGTTTCTTTTATCTCTCCCCTGATAAAAATTGTAATTAATAAATCCTAATCATTGATGTAACTAATACGTATGAACGAATTCAACGAAAAATGGACCTATCGGCTTACAAGAATGTGGTGGATTTCAAAAACATATGCAGGACGTGCATGAACAATCAAAATTGTCGCACCAAAATTGAAGAAGAAAAAATTCGAGTGGACAACAAAGTTATTCCAATATTGGAACTTTTGAATTTTGTTCATGAAGTTAAGGTAAGTGAAGTGGATGGACAATTTTGTTATATTGTCACAAACTATAAAAAAAAACTGCTGTTAATGCTGTTATCTTAATACATTCACCTAAGAGGGCTTTGCCTAAGTACAACATACAAATTAAGTACTTATCAGTTTATCTAATAACTAAGTATATTCGGTTTGGATGCCATAATATCTAGGTATCCATAAATAAGAAATTACATACCTAAATAATTTGGATGTTTAAAGAATTTTTTGAAACGTATTTTAGTAATTTCTGTCATTATTTCATCATAATGTGATTCAAGGCTGAACTAATAGAATATTTTACCCAGAAAACAGTTTTTAATTAATAACCATAAGGTTTTTTTAACAAAAATCAAGCTTTTTAGTCTCTATATACTGTACCCGAGACTGTTCTTATGATTAACATATCCTAGTAGTCTAGAGATTAGATATTACCGAGGATATTACTATGACAAAAAGTTATGTAATTTCCAACAATAATTCCTCAATTAGATATTATCAATGTATGTACCTATCAAAATCTTATTTCCATCAAATTACAATAATTTATTCAAGTATTCACTTAGAAATGATTTAGGTAGGTCAATGATGTAGCTATATCTTATGATATGAAGTTTCCTATTAATAAAATAGGAAATCCCAATTAAATTTTGGTATAAAATTTATAAATAACAAACAAGCAAGTAATACTGAACCACAGTGTATATTCAACAATGAGAAATTTCTAAAAGCAAATATTTAGGTTTGAATATATAATTTAGTAGTACCTGCCAATTAATGGTAGAATCTAGGGTAGAATATTAAAAGTTGATCTTTTCTCTGTATATAACTTTTTGTTTTTCAAGATGCACAAAGGATTCCCTGATGAAATCTGCTCAAACTGTATCGACCAATTAAAAGCCTTCTACAAATTTAAGCTTCAAGTTGAAAAGTCTGAATCGGTACTGAAAAAACATCTAGGCCCATTTGACGACCGAAATCCCACCACTAGCCCTTTAATCCGTAACGAGCTAACATTAGGGCCTTTAAATTTCAGCAGGAACTCTGTGGACTCTCCTAGATCACCTCTTTTCATAAAACACGAATTGAGCAACCATTACCATGAGGAACCATTAGATCTTAAGGTGAATATTGGCATTTTTAAATTATCTAGAATGATTTTCTGGAATGGGAAATATCATTTTACTTATACCTATACAACCAAATCAGTTAACAAAATTGCATTTCAGCAAACGTGTTTTATTTTGATTTTATCTGAAACAAAACTAATTCACTGCATTTATAAAGGTCAATGAAGCAGATATAGATTTGGGACTTTTAAAAATCTCAGACGACTCCAATGAGAGAGGCAATGATAAAAATACCAAACAAAAAACCAACAATGCTGCTAAAGGCAAGCAAAGACTTGCAGATGACAATTGGGATGCCAGAGAAAAAGAACAGGAAATTACTATAGATCCAGCAGTTTGCACCATATGCAACAAAACATTCAAATCCAAATATATATTAAATGTGCATCTAAAAAGACACAAATTTAAGGGGCAGTTTTTGTGTACTTTGTGTGGAAAAGGGTTTAATTCACAAGGGTGTCTTAATAGGCATGCTAGAGTACACACAGGTAAGTCAAATAATATAAGTTTGTACATAAATATTGTGAATATTATTTTAGGTGAAAAAAACTACCAGTGTGAAATATGCCAAAAACGTTTTCCGTCTTCCAACAACCTCAACATCCATTTACGCACGCACACAGGGGTTAAGCCTTATTTATGCAATCTTTGTGGAAAATCATTTAGTAATAGAACAGGATTAAACTTTCATGTTAGGACGCATAGTAAAGAACGGCCTTATGGCTGTGACGTTTGTGGTAAATCTTTTGGAGCTCAAAGCCATTTGGATTGGCACAAAATGATTCATACAGGTAATATGACCAAAATGATGATGATGTCTCTCTTGTTTCATTACTATTTGTCTTTATAATTACTTTTTTTTTTTCAGGTGAAAGGCCTTTTCAATGTGACCAGTGCGATAAGGCCTTCATTAAAAAATGCGACTTGCAACGTCACCAAACTGTTCATACTGGGGAGAAACCTTTTGCCTGTTCCTATTGTGACAAACGGTTTAGTAGTAAAGTCCATTTACAGTATCACACAATGGTAATAACATTAAGTATTTATCATATAATTTTGATTGTAATGCTTAACTTTTTTTTTAGGTTCACACAGAAGAACGTCCCCACAAATGTCCTGTATGCGGTAGAGGTTTCATAAGAAGGTACTATTTAAGAGATCATATGTTGAAACATCATGGTACTTTAGAAGGTACTACTCTGGAAGAAAAATCCACTCTAGCAAAAAAAGATGAAAACTTTCAACAAGCACTTTTGGGTTTTCCCAATAGTAATTTGGATAATGATATGCAAGAGAATGGAAATTCCTTGGTGGCTTTCGAGAATTGACAATGGAATTCTGTTTGTTTTATCAACTTCATTTGATACCTCACCAATCGAATTTGTGTTTAATATTCTGTTTTAATTCCTTTGAAATTAGCTAAATTTTTAAAAAAATCAATTTTTCCATTTTATTTCTAAAAAAGTGTCCCAAAAATATGGATGAATTTTTCAATAGTCATACATCAATTATAATTAGTGGGACCAATAAAGTTGTGTCAAAATATGGCTAAACTCTGACAAAATATGGTGCTATTCAAGTTGAGTGTTCATAGATTTATTCTTTACCTACCTAGTTGTTTTTGTATATAGAGTTTATATTATTGATGTTTTAATAAAATTATTGAAGATTATCTAAATGAAAAATTATTCTTTTTGACTTTCATTGGCTTAGTTTTTTAATTTTATAAGAATAATTTAACAGTATTGGACATTTCCAAGATTTCATAGAGGTAATGTCAAGATGCATTTGATAGTTTATCAACTTTCAACATCATTTTCTGCAATTTTTTATAATTTTTTTTTTAATGCAAACCTATCCAAAGTATTTCTAAATTCATTCTAAATGTGCTTCGTTTTGGCATTTCAATAATTCAAATATCAAAATATAAGATTCCTAAATGGCTGTTGAATTGTATATCAACAACATTTTTCGTGATTTTCAATCAAAATATATCTAAAGTAGTACAGGTCCATTTGGAGAGATATTTTTGGTCCAAAATTGAACGACCACAAAATGGTCTAAATTTGATCTCTGAAGTGAATAGTCATACCTACCTACAATGTCTTTTCCTAGATGTATTTTCTTTTAGAATTTGCATTTAAACCCAGAAACTAGTCTTATGTTCTAAATGTGTTTAGTTTTGGCATTTACTATTGAAATATCAAGAGAAACTGTTCTAAATGGGTGTAAAATTACATTTCAACAAAATTTTCTAGGATGCTTTTACTTCGATTCAATAAAAAATCTATCGTAAGTGCTAACTTAGCAAACAAAATGGGGGACCTCTAACCCCCCAGATAGGTACCTGGGCAAATAGTTTCAATCTTTCAATAAAAAGAATCTTAAATGTGGAACATTTTTGGTACACAAGAGAATGAAAAGTTTTAATCCCAAAGAATAAAGGGATAATGAAAGAACTGACTTCAACTACAAATAACTATTGTAGTAAAACATTTCAAGAGTACTTATTTTTTACTTTTGAGGGCTACATACCAGTTTCTGAGATGGGTCAAGAAATATTCATTTGATTTTGGCTCAAAAAATTTTCCAGGAACAGTCACTTGGGGACATCATTTTCTATTAGATAGGTATATGGACAGGAGAGCTTTTACTTAACCAAATGGTCAAAGTTTATACCAAAAATTAGATCTTATCTCTATAAAACGTATCATAATGTAATCACTCTGTATCAGAGTGGTTTACCATATTAATGTATAGTATTCTCTTGTAGTGTACCTACATGGAAAGAAAGTAAATGATGAAATAAGCTCCTACAGTTTAACTGAAGTGAGTTTTTTACTGACTATAGGGTCTGTTTTTATTTTGCTTATAGGGCATCAGATATCTATCCAATTTGGAAACAGATTCTTCATGAATGTTTAATTGTCCTTTGTAAAAATGTGAATGTAGAAAGCGACAACAATTGAAAATAAATTTGAAATACTTGGGTATGGGCAAAGAATATTATAGCTAACAATATTCTTTGGTATGGGTCTATACCTTCATCAATGTAGTATGTACCCAGTAAATAATAATCATAATTACCAGGAGCAAAAACTGAAAATGTTCTTTGAACCAGAAGCTGCTAAAATTATTCACTTGAGTGGTTTTGGTAGAATCTGTGTTTAATAGATTCACTTGAGAACTACAAGAGTATGATTATGAGAATAACAATGCATAACTTTGATTTCAACTGATTATTTTGCAGCTTTGGTTTTTATTGGAAAAAAATAAGGCTTTTTCAGATGTAATGATCCAGGTGAAACAAAGATTGTTTTGATATATGTGTTTGGATTCGAGTTCTGTTCAAGTCATAAGAAAATTGTAATTTTCCCAATGAATTGTATTATTTTTCAGCTGGTTTATAATGCTTTGTTGATGTTGATACTAAGGTTGATACCGTTTTATCATTAAAGTTAGGGCAATTTAGGATAGATTACTTTATTGGTTTGTTCAATGAAATCTGACCTTATATGGGTACCCACATAGCAATAAAACGAACCCAGCAACTTGGTTTGTGTGCTGGTGACTCGAGTTTTGCATTTTATGGTTAAATAAGTGGGACGATGTACCCACTCAAGGCGATTATCATGGCATATGGTTTATTTATTTTCAAATGTGCCAAAAAAGGTATCTTTCACAGGATTTATTTATGTAAATCTTTAGGCATGAAAGATTCCTGCTCCTAAGGGTTATTTTTAAAATAGCTAAATTTAATTTGGAACTGCGGCTTTCTGGTGCCATCCACCATCGCGTGATTATATATGTCTGCACATCAGTGCACGCTTTTACTTTGAGCTATAAATAAATTCAAGAATTGATTTTCTGGCTGTTAGTTCTTATATTTACAAGAACTTGCAATGGAAAATTACATTTACATTGATTTAAATTAAAATTAGTCCAAATGGTACATGGTCTTCAATTACTTAAAAATAAGTACCTATGTAATTTACAAATATACCTAGTTGAGGAGGCTAAAACTAAACCTACAAAAACATGTAATTTCCTAAATATTTTCCCACTTTAGTTATTTTTAGAAATTACTCTTTATCTAGCCAATGACAGAGTATTATATTATTCAAACCTTGTTTTCACCTTGTACCTTATGAAAATTAAATTCCCACTCATTTGTCTTAGTTTTCCTAGCATTATCTCTCAATTTTAGAGATAAAAGCTGTTTTTATCAGAAATCTAAAGTGAATAATCGCATGTATTGAAAAATAACATAAATTTTTAGTGCAAATGATGATATAATACCCACAAGTCGTAGTAAAATCGATTGAGTAAATTTCTGAGAAAAATAACTGCAAAAATGAGCCATAAGTTTACAGGATCAAGTGTAAGTACCTAAGAACTTTATTGTTTGTGTTTTTTTGATCTAGTAGGCAAGACAAGGGTATAATAAAGGTAACGATTGTTATATCTATAAAAAAAAAATAGGTTATGTATGAAGTGCCTCCATTGCTAGAAATGTTGGTAGATCTAGGATTAGATTTTAAAAAAATTAGTATTTTTTTTATTAAAAAGCCAATGTGGTGGGCTGATATGAAACCTATATTTAATATTTATGATGGGGTTACAATTTTGATTGGATTGGATGATTGTTTTTTTGGATGCAAATCACAAATATTTTCTTCTAAGACTTCATTTGCTTATTGCAAATAATTGAATCTCTAATGTACGACAATGAAAATCCCGTATAAAGACCCCATCAAAGGAAGCCATGGTGCCCACAGCTCTTTACGGTTTTCTTTAAGTCTATGACCGTGAAAACCCATAAACCCGTGAAATTGTTGTTCTAAACATAATTTCTATATTGGCAGCACCTTTTATGGACATTTTTGTAGGGCAAATCGATTTTAATCATGGAAAAAATTGAAAAATAAAATCCATCTGCTGCTGCCATCTGCATTAAAATTGATCCATTTTTAAATAATTCTTAATTCCATAGGAAAAAAAGTAGTCAAAAGGCGGTGTTGCCAAATAGCCATTTCCGATTTCCTTTACTCTTAAAATTTTTCCGGATTAGGTACAAAAATTCAAAATATCAATATCAAGACACTTTTTTCAAACCTGAATTTTTTTTAACTAAGTAGGTAAATAATATCAATCAATAATATTATAAAATACACGTTTACCACTCAACTCATAATTGCCCTTTATTCATAAAATTACCTACAGACTAATAAAATTCTCATAAATCGGAAACCCCGCCGAACAGCCCGATTTCCGTTAGTTCACGTGACCCGATTTCGACCAATCGTAGTCGAGGAACGAGGCGTCGGCCGCGTGACGTCACAGAGCGTATAAATACAGCCGGCCCCTCGAAAATCTTCACACAAGTTTGTTTGGAAAGCTGCATAACTAGCTAGTCTGAACTCGTCTGTTTCTTGTACCATTTTACATTTTTTGTGGCTAATTTTTGATCCAAATCATTCAAAATGGTGAGTAAACTCTTGTTTTATGTCTGGGGATGTCGTTGAGGGTAATTTTTTTGGTATTTTTGGCCGAATTCATTGATAATTTGATAGGAAATGGTCCATCGATAACGTGGCTAGGTTTGCCGGTAGCCATATTGTCGCGTCGGCATTTTTTGATTTTTAATGGGTTTTTAGGTCTTTTTTTTACGTGTAAGCTTTTCTTTTGCAATAGAAAAGTGTTTCATTGGATTTTTTGCGATTATATGGGGAAAAATCTTGGGTTTCAGGCCTTTATTCATTGATCGGCACTGGTAGGGTGGGGCAGGCATACCAATCCATGGGCTAAAAATTTAACGGTTTTTTTTAGACTTCAATTTCTTTTGTACCTTCTATAATTTATTCCAATATAATTATGCCTATGGCAGCCTATGCAGTTGGAATGTTGGAAATTGCCTTGTTATTCAGTAGTCAAACAGTTTTATGCATTTTTTACATCAAACATTTTCCCTTTTTTTTGCATCTGGTCCTCCTTGGAAATTTGACTCACTCACCCTTTTCTCCACCCCACCGGCTCCACCCTCCCATCCATCGATCCTAGATAGCTTTGTTCAGGTATGAAATAAAGGACAAAGGACAGTTCTATAACGGATCGAAACAATCGCACATTTTATTTGAAATTTGCGATAGTTGACCCGCATTCAGGTATTTTATGTATTTTATAAATCAAACATTTTCCTTTTTTTTGCATCTGGGCCTCAATTCTTGAATAATCTCGCATACGAAAATTTATGTGATTTCGAATGTTTCCTATTCAATTTACATTGCTGTCATTCAAATTCGAATAATCTTATGTATGCGAGATATTCAAGAATTAGGGCCCTGGTCCTCCTTGGAAATTTGACTCATTCACCCTTGCCTGTACCCCACCGGCTCCACCCTCCCAACCTTCGATCCAAGATAGCTTTGTTCAGATATGAAATAAAAGACAAAGGACGGTTCTACAGTGTGTCCACTTAAGTTCGCAGCGTATGGGAAACTTTATTATTATCAATTTTACAAAAAAAAGTTATTCCTTATAAAAGTTTGTGCTTCTTGAAAAAATACTATTAAACTACTAAAACTTGGAATAAAATGTACAGGGTGTCCGAATGTGGATGGTTTTAATAGGAAACATCAATTTCTGAGCAAGATACAAAAAAATGAACCCCCCACTCCGAGGCTCAAATTATATGAAATCTTGATTGGTGCAAACCGCATTTTGATATCTTCAACCGTTTAGCCGCTACGAGGCGATTCTCGATTTTGAGCAATAATGTGAAACCATCATAACTTTTTTGTTTATGAAAATTAATTGATTTTGTTAAATCTTTCTAGAAGCACTTTTTCAAGCAGAATTCAGTGACATTCTCAGTTTTTTCTAGTTGGTCCCAACTCCGAGATATTCAGGGCTATGCAGTAAGGACATTGACTTGAAGTCAAGGTTGAAATGAGACATAAAATTGAAATTGTACAGACATTTCAATATTTGCTATGCAGTAAGTCCACTTTTCAATTATTGACATTTTATAATTTCAAGATGTTGAAATGAAATCAAGTGACCTCGTGAATTTCAATATTTGGTATGCAGTAAGGAAAAATATTGAAATAAATTCCAAGTCAACTTGAAAAAAAGTCAATAATCCTAACGTAACGCAAAATTTAGCCCGGTAGAAACCTTGAAATGATGTCAACAACAAAACTTAACCTAAAACATTTGTTTTTTTGAGATTTTGTTGGGAGTTTCTTTTATTTAATTATGTGAAATTCGATTTTTGTGAAGCTGTGGAAGAAAAATGCATTTGTTTTTTATATCAATTCAAAATAAAATTCAGAAATGGGTAGTTCAAATCAAATCATATTTTGCCGCATAGTGCAAATTACTCAATTTACACAATTTGCTTTACAGTACCCAGGTATAGGGCCTTAAAGCAGTTAAGTCCCATATGTATACCCACATACTCGCACTCCCTTAATCTTTTAATATAGGTAGGTACCTATACCTAGGCCCCCTGTCTTTTAAAGTTTCCTAATTTTAAAGCTGATGCTGATGTACCTTCCAACACATTAAAATTTGTCTCAAAAGCACAATTGCCTATTAAAAAATGTAGGTACTTTCTACAATACAATAAAGGTATAAAATGAAATGATTTAAACTTGACTAGGGTAGAGCTTCGCTTTGCTAGATAAGAAAAATCTGCTCTTAAGATGACGAAATTGGAGCTGAAAAAATCAAGTTAGAAATTGAGGAGAAGAGAATTTTTATCGTGTCCAGGGAAACTATTCTTTACAACAGAGTCGTGATTGTGAAAAAACAGTTGGTGGAAAATTATTGTCCTTGAATTATAATAAATAAGTACATCTGCATATTTTGGTTAACGTCATGTTTATATTTACTTATTTGAAGTATTATCATTATCAGATTGTTAATTAATTTATTCAGGACTTGCAGGCTCTTTTCTATGGTAAATAAATAGATTTTGAAAACCTTGAATTTTTTTCATGTATGTTCACATCAATGGATTTTCCTAAACACACAGTACATAAGTCTCGACCTAGGTATATGCTCACTATGTATTCCCATCTTTATACAAAATAAATTCATCTGGCTTTCGACTTCGGTCTCGATTCTGGATTTCCATTCCCTCAAAATCTATTTGAGAAAATAAACCCAAAAGCAGTGTTTTACCCATATGTTCTAATTTGCCAATGATCTATTTGCATTTTTTTTATAAGCTCAAGAACAAATTTCCACTCACTCTAAATCCACAAAAAAGGTAAAGAAAGTAAAAATTAATAATTAGACTTGACTAGGAAAATCAAAACAAACTTTCAGTTTGTATTTTTAGGTTAGGAACCCCTCGAAAACTCTTCTTTTTTCACGATTTTACAAAGAATTACAACGTTGCCACATAAAAACTTGACATCAATTTCAATGTTTTTCTATTTCAATAAAATTAAATCAAGGGTACTTACAGCATACCAATTTTTTTCATTATTGAAATGCAAGTCAATATTTATTGGAATTATTTCAACCTTGACTCTAAACTCAATGTCGTTACTGCATAGGGCCGATTGACCAAAGTATGTTTTTTTTTCAATAGGACACTCTATATATTAATAGCTTATTAGAAAGCTCGACTTTTTCTGATTTCAATGATATTAAGTTCGATAGGTTTATCTCTAATAGTTTTCGAGAAAAAAAATTATTTCGGTTTTTGTCATAAGAAGCAATGTGTAAGAAAAGGACTTTATATCTGTAAGGAAACTGAGAAAGGTCTCTTTCTAACTCATTGTTTCTTATGACAAAAGCCGAAATATTTTTTTCTCAAAAACTGTTAGAGATAAACCTATCGAAATTTGCATCATTGGAATCAGCAAAAGCAGAGCTTTCTATTGAGCTATTAATATATAGGGTGTCCCATTGAAAAAAATCTTATTTTGGTCAATATCTTGAAATCGAGGCCCAATAGAAAAAAACTGAAAACGTTACTGAATTCTGCTTGAAAAAGTGCTTCTAGGAAGTTTTTACGGAAATCAGTTATTTCCATAAACAAAAAAGTTATGAAGATTTCACAGTATTGCTCAAAATCGAGAATCGCCCTCTAGCAGCTAAACGGTTGAGGATATCAAAATGCGGTTTGCACCAATCAAAATTTCAAGAAATTTGAGCCTCTGAGTGGGGGGTTCATTTTTTTTTGTATCTCGCTCAGAAATTGATGTTTCCTATTAAAACCATCCAAATTTGGACACCCTGTACAGGGTGGTCAAAAACTAGAGAAATACACAGAGTGTTTCCCAAGTACGGTTTGTAACTTCAGGATGTGATTCCTACAATATTTCGTGAAAAAAAGTTCCCATAAACATGTGTCCGGAAATGCGTAGTTTCTGAGATACAGGGTGTCAAAATCTTAGAAAAAATCCTTTTTTTAGCTCAAAAATCCCTTTTCCAATTTTTTTTTTTTCAAATTTGGCAGGTTTGTTTGTGATAACGAAAGGTATCTTTTGACTGTAATATGACTTGCCTAATCTGAAAAAAATATCAAAAGTTTTAAAAAATAGTGACATGCTATTTTTTTTCCAGTTTTACCAAAAAAACCCTGTATATTTTTCTATTTTCTGACCACCCTGTACATACATGCTATTTCAAGTTTTAATGGTTCAATACTATTTTTTCAAGAAGCAGAAACTTTTATAAGGAATAACTTTTTTTTGTAAAATTGATAATAAAAAAGTTTCCCATATGCTGCGAACTTAAGTGCACACACTGTATAACAGTTCAGAACAGTCGCACATTTTTTTATTGAAAGTTGTGATAGCCAACCAGCATTGAAATACCCCTTATCATTTTGTTGATTGTTAAACTGTGCGATTGTTTTGAACCGTTCTAGAACTATTCTTTTTCCAAACCCGAACAGGCCCAATATTAGGCCTGCTGGCACAGAAATCACAAACCAGTCAGAGTGAATTTCATTGGTTGAAACTAGTTTTCAACCAATTAAAATTCGCTTTGACTGGTTTGTGATTGCTGTGCGAACCAGCCTAATGACATGTCAAAATTTTTGCAATATTGCCAAAATCTAAATAAAAAATAGACCAGACTCAAAAAAAGGTGCTTAATAATAAAATTTGATTTTGTGTATTTCCAAATTTGTTGGAATTTGCCACGAAAATACTCTTTTCAGTTAGGCCAGAATTACAATTCCTTTTTAATGAATCAGAAATTAGGTAATCTTGTGATCCCTGGCCTAACTTCCTGAACATTTGAATGGAGCCATTGAGTGTAGAGCAAACTTTAGCATTTTTATTTTTCAAGATAATTTGATATCCCTAAAAACAGCACTGTGAATGCCCATCACTTAGAAAAATGCCTTTTGTTTCTGTTTCTTCTCTAGATTTGAATTTTTTCTATTATCACCTCAAAAAAGTCACACATGTCATTGTACAAATTTTGTGTAATGATTCTTTTCACAATTTTAGACACTTGATTTTTGATTTCTCATTCAAATGGAAATCTCGAGGGAAATCTTAATTTTTTTGACTTGATTTCCAGTTGATTTTGGTGATCACTTCACTGTTAATTTCACATGATTACTGTATTCACAGAGTTCCACTTCTATTTCTCTTTCTATTGTAATTTGACAAGATTCTGATCCACTAGTTTTAGGACTATGTTCCAATATGACTAAGGCAAAACAAAAAATTGCTTATTGCTTCTTCACTAACCACTGAACCAAATGCCATCAACAGACAGAAGTTATTTTTGTCTTGATAAATTAATGTTTGATTTTACTTTTCACAAATATTCCTTGTCTAATTATCCTGGTACTCTGTGACTTTATTTTAAATTTCACTGCAGGAGTCATTGCACTTGGCATGTAACTTTCTTTTCTTATGCCTTGTTTTCTCTATTGTTCTCAGTGAAACACACAACAGCAACAATAGTTTGTGCTCCGTTTATTTTTGAATATTTTGTCTCGATATGAAATTCAATAATAATTGATGTTTCTGTTTCATAACTTTTTACTCGAGTTTTTAATATTTTCTTTGTCCTTCACAGAACTTGTCTGTAGAATATTTTGCGAGCCAATCTCTTGGTCACTTAATTTTGGTTTATACAGGGTGTTCATTTTAAAACTTCCCAATCATATTATTTCAAAATTGAAAAATTTTTGAGAAAATTCCTGAAACACATCAGCTACAATTTGAGGGGGGATGACTTTTCATGCAAAATTCACCTTCCCCCCGAGGGGTGCGCAAATGTTAAAAAAGTGTACACCAAAATTAATTATTAGGGTATTTAAAGGTATTTAAATGCTATTTAAGTAAAAAAACTAGGTATTTAACGATATTTAAACGAGTATTTAAAAGTATTTTAAATATAAAAATAATCAATTTAGAGGATCCAACCGAGATTTAAAAAGATTTAAATTGTATTTAAAAGCAAAATGTACACCATATTTAAATCTCTGTGCACCCCTGGTTCCCCCTTCCCAGCCCCCAGAGCCACTCCCTAGAAAATCTTAAATGGGAAGGGGGTCAAGTGATACATCATTTTGGAGGGTTTTTAATTCCATATAGTTTGGTACTAAATTTTAATCCCTAAGCTCAACTGTATTGGAAATATTGACAGTTGAAAATTCACTTTTTTAATACTTTGACAAAAACTTAAACGGTTAATTTTTGGGAAAAACCAATCTTACATTCTTGTCTTAGACTTTTATCTACTATCGTTAAAAATGAAATGAAAATGAAAAACCATAATCTCCGGTTAAATTCGAAGTTAGTGTCAAATAATAGTTTATGAAAATGTGAGATCAGTTTTTCTCGAAAATTAACCATTTAGGTTTTACAGCCTGTCAAAGTAGCAAAAAAGTCAATTTTCAACTGTCAATACTTCCAAAACAGTTTAACTTAGGGATTAAAATTTAGTACCAAAATGTATGGAATTAAAAACCCTCCAAAATGATGTATCACTTGACCCCCCTTCCCATTTAAAATTTTCTAGAGGGTGCTTCTGGTGGCTGGGGGGTTGGAAGGGGGAGGTGAATTTTGCATAAAAACTCATCCCCTCTCAGGGCCGTATCTAGACCAAAATTTTGGGGAGGGTTAGACCAGTGTCAAAAAAAATGGTTACACTAATAATGAAAATAAAAAAAATAAATAAGTATTTAATAAGTGTTGTTTGTTTTAAAATTATTTTTTTAAAATTATTTTTGGGGGCGGTTTGAACCCCCAAAACCCCCCTCCCAGATACGGCCCTGTCCCGTCTCAAATTATAGTTGACGTGTTTCAGGAATTTTTTCAAAAATTTTTCAACTCTGAGATAATAGAGGTGGTAAATTTTAAATTGAACACCCATTATGAAAGTAATTTATGGCATTTAATTAAAAAATACATTAATGAATTGCTATTTACTCATTATCTGCAAATTTGTAACTTGAGAATTACAAGTAAAAAATCTTCACAAAATAAAATTAACAATAAATTTAAGATTTATTCTTCAATAAGAGAGGTATTCTTTCGATCTGAACAAACTGATCGAAATCACTTGAGGTTTGTCTCAAACAATTGTCATCCGGTTTTACAATGATTTCATTGGCCTTAACTGTTTTTTTGATGCCTCGTAAACAAACCTTATGTGATCACAATCAGGTTGTTCAGATCAAAAGAATACCTGAATTATTGTAGTTTCAAGACCTTTTTTGGCAAGCATATATATATTTTTCTAGAAAATAAATTCTGCATATTATTGTCTTCACGTAAACCCCCTTGAACGAGTTTTACAACAAAAATTTCTCAATTCTTGGTGACCCAACACAGATTTTTCCTACCCCATTTATTTTATAAATCTTTAAATTAAATTAACAGCCAAGTTTTGACTTGCCATTCACCAATTTTCATCACGATTAATTCACAAAAAAAAAAATCCAATGCGCTTATTCAGGATTTGAAAAAGTGAACTTTTTTGGGGGTTAATTTTAAAGCTAATTTATTTTTTGATCACTCTTCTAATAAAATTTTTCTTTTGTTACAGCGCGAATGTATCTCAGTACACGTTGGCCAAGCCGGAGTCCAAATTGGTAACGCCTGTTGGGAACTCTACTGTTTAGAACATGGCATCCAACCTGACGGTCAAATGCCATCTGACAAAACTGTCGGAGGTGGAGACGACAGTTTCAACACCTTCTTCAGTGAGACCGGCGCAGGCAAACACGTTCCCAGAGCTGTATTTGTCGACTTGGAACCAACTGTAGTTGATGAAGTTAGGACCGGAACCTACAGACAATTGTTCCACCCCGAACAATTGATCACTGGCAAAGAGGATGCTGCCAACAATTACGCTAGAGGCCACTACACCATTGGTAAAGAAATCGTAGATTTGGTTTTGGACAGGATTAGGAAATTGGCAGACCAATGTACCGGTCTCCAAGGTTTCTTGATCTTCCACTCGTTCGGAGGAGGTACTGGATCTGGCTTCACATCTCTGTTGATGGAACGTTTATCTGTGGACTATGGAAAGAAGTCCAAGCTTGAATTCGCCATTTACCCAGCCCCTCAAGTATCCACCGCTGTAGTTGAACCATACAACTCCATCTTGACCACCCACACCACCTTGGAACACTCCGACTGTGCTTTTATGGTTGATAACGAAGCCATCTACGATATCTGTAGACGTAACTTGGACATTGAACGTCCTACCTACACCAACTTGAACAGACTCATTGGCCAAATTGTATCTTCCATCACAGCCTCTTTGAGATTCGATGGTGCCCTCAATGTTGACTTGACAGAATTCCAAACTAACTTGGTACCATACCCACGTATCCATTTCCCATTGGTCACCTACGCTCCAGTAATCTCTGCTGAAAAGGCTTACCATGAACAACTCTCTGTCGCTGAAATCACTAACGCCTGTTTCGAACCAGCCAACCAAATGGTTAAATGCGATCCTCGTCATGGTAAATACATGGCCTGTTGTATGTTGTACAGAGGAGATGTTGTTCCCAAGGATGTCAACGCCGCCATTGCTACCATCAAGACCAAGCGTACCATTCAGTTTGTAGACTGGTGTCCTACCGGTTTCAAAGTTGGTATCAACTACCAACCCCCAACTGTGGTACCTGGAGGTGATTTGGCCAAAGTACAACGTGCCGTCTGCATGTTGTCCAACACCACCGCTATTGCTGAAGCCTGGGCTAGGTTGGACCATAAATTCGATCTTATGTACGCCAAACGTGCCTTTGTACATTGGTACGTAGGTGAAGGTATGGAAGAAGGTGAATTTTCTGAAGCCCGTGAAGACTTGGCCGCTTTGGAGAAGGATTACGAAGAAGTAGGCATGGACTCTGGAGAAGGTGAAGGCGAAGGTGCTGAAGAATATTAAACAAAAACAATTCCCTTTCGAAAAAGAAAAAAAAAATTAAAATGCAAGTAAACATTTATTTCCTTTGACTGATTTTTGTTTACGAAATATAATTTTCTTTTTTTACTTGATATTATGTTGTTTTATTTTACTAATTATTTCTCTCTTGATAAAATTTACATGGAGCTCATTTTAAAAAAAAAATCGAAAAATGTCTCTAAAAATTAAGCTGCACTTAAAACAAATTCTCTCTATATCTATCTTAATTAGAGTGTGGTGACTACACCTGTTCTGACAGTATTCTAGAATGGTCATTTGTATTTAAGAAATCCCCATAGGAATAATGGAATAAATACAAATGACTACATATTCTAAAATACAATAATTGAAGGTTTCTGAAATACTGTTGGAAAAGGTGTAGTTTTTGATCAGACAAGAAAGTGAGGCAGTCTATAAAAATTTCCTAAATCCACAACCAAATCTAGACTTTTATCCCTATTTCGTGATATTTCATTCAAAAGTCCAGAGTTTATTCAGCCAATAATTGCCTGATCAACCACACGAATATACAAAAAAATTGATACCCAGAATAAAATAATTGTTGGCCGCCTTTGCAGACTTTACTTAATTAAATTTACTCCTTAGAGTATCAGCAGAACTTGTTTCCATTTTAAGATTGTGTTGAGTAATCTGAAAACTCCCTATAAGTCGCGTGTTGGAAAGTGCAAAACAAAATGACCTCATTTGAAGGATGCTTCACCATAAATGGAAGTGATATCACAGTTTACGTCATGGCCCAGTAGCTTTATAAATTATAAGTGGATATGAATCATCATTTATGCCCACATATAGATATACATACATCCTATGACGCTTGTTTTAAATAAATCATTTTATTATTTATCACTGACATTATGTTTGGTCAATTTTATTATTAGAGAATTAAAAATTCAAAAATAGAAAAAAATTCAGGATTTAAGGGTTGAAATAGAAACACAGGAAATTAGTTTTCAACAGTTTTTTTTCAAATTGTTAAATCTCTATAAAAATTATTCCAATAACTCTATAAATAATATGGGAAACAAAAAAAACATACACAATAATCCAGTTAATATTTAAACAATATAATTTTAAAACAATCCAATCCTAAGCATAATGTAACAAAATATTTAGAACCTACAACTCAAGTACGAGTTGACATACGTTATTTATTGTCCCAAGTAAATCTTACTTAAAAATCATAATATTTCGCTTCCTAATAGCAAAAAAACAGCAAAACATTATTTAGATGAAGTAGCTTAAAACTTTGATTAAAAAACAAAACTAGCTAAAAAATGTCCTGATAGTTTTTACTCAACATTGATATTATTAGGATCCACAATCACATTTACATCCCTTTCGACCTTAACATTCTCAATCTCTGAGAACTCAATAGGTATTCTTATAGCAAAAACCGTCGGAAGACAGGTTTCACTAGTGCAAGTGATCAAACTGAAACATACATCCACTTTTTCCTCAGTTTTATCATTTTGTGATGGTATGCTTAATACCATGTCTATGTTACTCATGTCAGTACCATTTTTTGGTATACAAGAGTAAGTTGGTCCAGGAAGTTCAGCTATCCACTTTTGTGGTGCATCTTCCGTTAGTTTTAGGCCATTGGAAAACTTCAACTTAAAATTTAAAACCAATTTGCCACCTTTATTGCTTAGCTTGAGTGGCTTAGCTAGTGACAGAGTATTTTTCGAAGTTTTATTTGTAATCGAGGGCGTATCATTGGCCCTCAAATGCAACTTTTCTATTCTATTAATATTATTATGGTTCCTGCTTAAAGTTATCACTTTTATTTGATGGTTATTGGTATCGGCCAAATAAATTTTCTTGCCGTCAGGGCTCAAACAGAGACCGGCCGGTTCTTTGAAATTTAGAAAATCACCATCTGTAGCATCTAAATTATTACTAAATTGTAAAGTGTTAATTGTATTTTCCGCAATATCCACTTTTTTCAATTTGTGATTGTAAGTGTCTGCTACATAAAGTGTTTTATCATCTGGAGCTGCAGCTACGCCTAAAGCATGTTGCAGTTTGGCTTCGTATAGGGTCCCATCTTGATCACCAAAGGCAAAAAGATTCTGAAAATTGATGTATTATTATTATTGTAGTTTTGGGGAATCTGTCTCCTGCAAAAAGGGACTAAATTAACATTTCTATAGTGTTTAAAATGGATATTCTAGTCCCAAGAGTCTTGAGTCTGTTTCAGTCCCTTCAATTTTTTTTTCATTTGAGGGATTAAAAGATCTATTTTGGTGCACATTGTTATACTTTTTTTCTCCCTTATGACATTGTCTCATTTTTTTTTTTAAATGCAGATGAAGTAATAGAGTGTAGAGTGTAGACAAACATCCTGTTATTTTATTTGTCCTAATTAGCAACAAACTTAAGAAATAATAACTTCAATATTTAAGAACTTACATTAGGATTTCTATCACCACCGACGACATGAGTAACTTTGCCATCAACCAAAGATAATCTTCTTATGCTAGAGCTTTCACTGTCAGCAATATAAATTTCTTTGTTTTTGGGGAACAGTGCCAATCCCGAAGGTTGTGCAAAAGCTGCTGCATGTGGATAACTGTTGTTTCTATTTTCCTCTCTGCCAGAACCAGCAATGTTTATACAGGTACCTAAAAAATATAAAAATATATTCAAACAGAAATCATTTTGGCTTAAAATCCTATAATAATTCACAGTATGGAGCTAAGGGCACTAAGGCTGATAAGTGATGGAATATATATAGATAAATTATTGTATACTTGATTTAAAATTAAGTTGGGTGTTACCTTTAATATGTTTCTTGCATTTCCACCAAACAGTATCGTCTAAAAATAACGCCCAAATCTGATGCGACCCTGCCATGGCAATGATTAAAACATCCTTAATTGGCGGTTTACCATCCGGATGAAAAGTCAAATCCATATCACGTGTTTTGTAAATGCACACATCCCACGGACTGGAAATTTCCTGTTCTGAACCTTGTCTGCCACCCAGTCTGTCGTGGCCCTGTTGTCCAGTACCCGCAACAGTCACAACTCTACCATTTTCCAAATCAATTTTTCTTATAGCATGATTTTCAGTGTCTGCTACAAAAAGTACGTTCTTGTTTTGAAATGCCAAGCCTTGGGGATTATTAAATTCGGCATTTTCCAGGCTTCCATCTCTGAATCCAAGCTTTTTCCCACCAATGACTTTTAATATAGTGCCATTAGTGTCTAAAAACATTGGATTATCAGTCATTATAACGTAATAATAATAAGTTTGTTTGAACAACCTACCAGTAATTAAAATCCTATTATTGCCTGTATCCGAAATAGCTAAAATTTGATCATTTTCACGTGCAAACAATGAAATTTTCCCAGGAAATAGTAATGGTCCTTTAAGATCTGGCAAATGATGGAATGCAGATTTAAATGGCAGTTTGTGATTGGAAATTTGATTTTTCTCTCTGAAATTCCACAAAATTAAAACACAAAATGTATTTGCTGATTAGCGTACTTATAAAACTCCAAAGTCACTCTTATATAATCAATAAGCTCGTCTTTATGCCCTTCACCAGTTAACATAACTATTGGATTTGCATCAGGCCCTAACATTAACAAAGTGGGCCAGCATTGCACATCACAATTTTGCCACATTTCCGAATCTTGATCATTCACAACAGGATGGCCTATATTATATCTTTGCACTGCTGAGAGTATATTTGCTGAAACCTTTTCATTTTCAAATTTGGCACTGTGAACGCCAATCTGGAAAGAAATTAGGTTGTTTGGACTTTGCAGAGTTTTTATCAATAGTTTTCACTTACCACAACTAATCCATCTTCTACCGAAAACTTGCTTTCAATTTCCCTCAAATCTGGTATAATATGCATACAGTTTATGCAACAATAAGTGAAAAAATCTAAGACAACAATCTTTCCCTTTAGATGTTTATTGAATGATAAAGGTTCAGTCACATTGAACCATTCTAGTCCTAGAAATATAAGTAGGCTATTGAACTTTTAGCAATTTAGAAAAAGAAAATCAAAATTGATAAAGAAATTACTCAAGAAATTAATTACAACTTTTACCTTGTAAGTATAAGTTTTGTTCTAGATTGGGTAACTATTACTAAATATAAATATGTACCTAGAAACTTTTATTTAGTTTTATCCCTCTATTATTAATTCTCTATTATATGTATATTGGAATGAGGATTGGAACTTGTGATATTATTTTTTCTCAGCAAGAATTTGAATTGAATAGTTTTCCTATATTATTATGGCTATTTTTGTTATTGGGGATCAGAGTTGGACTTTCCTTTTTTTTTATGTTTTGTCTCTATTTTTTCGATCTCAATGGAGTGTTATTAACGAGGTTGTTAACCATAATTTTCTGTTTTCAAGTGGAAAAAGTCACAAGTCCCACTTGATTCGATTCTCGGTTTGATTGTACTTTGATGTATGCGACAAGACTCATAGAAACAAGGTTGGCATACCTACAATTTTCTCTACTTGAATTTTTGGATGAATTTTTGATGGGTATTTCCTTGGGTATTTCGATACAAATTAACGAAAAATCCTATAAAAATATTAAAAAGAGAAGAAAAAAAAAATTGCCAGATTGTCACACACAAACACTTCACAAAAAAAAAATCAGAAATTACCAACAAATGCTTTAAAAAGGACAAAATCGTTTTTTTAAACATACCTACTCTTTTTACAGAGAGAAAATTAAAATAAAATTCTGAAATCCATAACTAATGCTCTTGAAGCGATGAAATTTATAAGTTATCACAAATTTCCCAAATATTCTCAAGCGCCCTCTGATACTTCATAGTAAAATTCTGTCTAAACGTGTTTTAGAGTGTTCTAGTATGACTATGAAAGTTTTAAGTTAGTTCCAAAGTGTCATGTAATGATTTTCAAGATATTCTGAAAGTTTCCAGTTTCAGATTGATTTCAGAAGTTCTGTATGATTTGTAGAGCGTTCCAAAATACTCCTGGAAATTTTAATTTGAATCTAAACATAAACTTCAAAGTATCTCAAGCTATCTTAAACGTTCTGGAAAGTTTGGAAGTGTTCTGGTCCCTTCTAGGATGTTTCTGAAATTCTAATTTGATTTTAAAGTGTTCTGTAAAGTTTTACAATGTTCTTGAAAGTTTCAATTTGTCTCAAACCAAGTCTCAAACAAATGGAGGATGATTAAAAATCGAATTAAAAGTCTTCTGAAGCTCATCAAGGTTCTACATTTATTCTAAAGTGCTCTAGAGTGTCTCAGAATGCTTAAAAATGTTCCAAATTGGCGCAAGTGCATTCTGAAGCTTTCCAAAATGCTTTCTAAAGTTTTGAATTGGTTGCTTAATGCTCTTGAAGCGCCGGAATGTTCTAGAAGTTATCAGAAATTTCCCAAATCTTCTTAAACGCTTTTTGGTAGTTTTAATTAAAATTCTAGATCAGTTGAGAAGTGTTTTAGAGTGTTCTAATATGTTCATGGAAGTTTTAGGTTGTCAAGTGACGATTTTTAAGATATTGTAAGTTCCAGTTCTAGATTGTTTTATATGATTTGTAAAGTGTTCTAGAGTGTTCACAAAGCTTTCTAAAATGTTACTGGATGTTTAGACATAAGTGTTCTGGTCTGTTGAAAGTCTTCTGAAGTTTATCAAAGTTCTTAATTGCTCTGGAGTGTCTTAAAATGCTTAAAAATGTTCTAACTTGGCACTCATCTGTTCGAAAAAAATACCTACATAAAAATAGCTAAAAAAAAATATATCAAAACCACAAATATCCCCCAAAAACATCAAAAATACAAAACCAAAAATCTACTATAATACAATTGGCTGTATTTTTGCCAACCCTGCATAGAAAGGAATAAAAATAAAATTCAATAATTGTTTACCTGCATTAAAGTCCTTTACAGATGCATATTTAACTGTTCGTAAATATTCCCTGATTCCAGTATCCTTGTCCTTGCTCAACGCAATAAGTCCCAGTAGTTTTTGGTTGGAATAATACAAATAATTTTCCTCAGTATCCATTGCAAGTGATCTTGTTAGTCCTATTTTATTAAACAAATATCCTAATGTCCTACGAAGGAAATTCATGACTTAAAAATGTATAAACAACGCTTCAAGCTTCATATTTAAGTACTGTATGATTAGAAAGTTTCATGAAATTACATACCTATTTTGTAGTATTTGTACAGCAAGCAAAATACAAAATAAAAATAAGGAAAAGTAATCAAATCATCACTTCAGTTCAATGTCAAATAATTGAGGTTATGTAAGCTTGTAAACGTCAATGTCATTTTCCTTTCCGATAAGTTTTCTTTTCTTTGTTTGTCACGTCGAATAGAAAGAGATGAAAAAGTATTTATAATCCTATGCAATACAGGGCCGGACTGTTACATTACTTTTTATTTTATTTTTATTTTTTCAAATTAAATAAATATAAATAAGCACAAAATATTTTTTCTATTACTAACCTGAGAAATAATCATTATTCAATCTATTTTTCTAAGAAAAAATTGAATTTCTCTCCCTAGGTTAATAATGAAAATGACGTCATGACGCAAGGATAAGTCATGTTTTTATTAAAATCTGTTTTTTTTTTAAAGATAAAAGTCAAAATGACATTATGTTGGTAATACAATGTAAAATTGTCAATGCCTTCAAATTTTTATACAGTGAGGGGCAAGCTACTAGGTATATAGGATGTAACCTGACGAATTTGCAGGCGTCCGCATGTCAGAAAATGACAAATTGATTTAGCGCTAACCTGGCGACAACCAAGTAAAAAGTTTCTAGGGTTAATAATTTTCAAAAATACGGTTGTGTTTCTCCCTGAAACCAAACGAAATGACGTCCAGGAAAATAATGAGGATCAAGAAGCCAAATAAATTATGTTGTTGGTTGTTGGCATTAGTTAACAAAACTTCAACTATTTCGACTCGTGCGCTTGCGCAGGATATTGACTCAAGTACAAGGACGGTTAGGAGCCACACAAAAAAAAAGTATCGTTCGTACAAAGTAAGAAACTCCTAAAAAATTGATCCTGAGGACAACATCAGGCGAATGGATTTTTGTGAAACTGTCATTAATAAGGCAAATGAAAATCAAGATTTTCTTAGAAAAATTGTCTTTACAGATGAGTCGACATTTTAACTCCATGGTCATGGTCGACATAATCCTAGTCACACCCGTTATTGGTCTAAGGAGAATTTACACAGGTATTTTGAGCTTAGAGCCCAGCGTCGTCAAAAGGTAACTGTCTGGAGCGGTTTTTGTGGATAACATATTATTGGGACGTACTTCATGGACGCTAACTTAACTGGTCCAAAATATTTGGATCATTTGCAACGGGCCAACGGCAGATACTTCCAGAAATTGAAAGATTATCTGGTCCTATAGATTTAATGAAATATGGTATCAATAAGATGGATGTCCAGCCCATAATACGGGTTTCATTCTGGACCATTTGAATAATACTTTTCTGAACCATCTCATTGCTGGGTCGAGAGCTACAATACTGTGACGCTCTCCCGATCTTGCACCCAACGATTATTTTCTCTGGGGTTATTGCAACTCAAAAATGTATGGTTTTCAGGAGAATCGCGCCGTGAACCTTGAGCAGCTGCGTTTCAAAATTCGAGAAATATATCTAACTGTCACCCCTGTGATGCTAAATAATATTCGTAGAGCCTTCTATGATCGTTTAGGTCATTGTTTAGTTCAAGAAGGTGGACTGGAACTGTTTGAACATTTGCTACATTGTAGTGCAAATGGTAATCGAGCCAGGTTTTTGGGGTCAAAACTAGAATTTTTGTTTTTATTTTACCTAATTTTTTGTCTATTTTTTATGTTGAATATATTTTTAGTTTTTCCTGGATGGCTTTTTTAAAATACATGTTTTTTTTTTCCATAGATTATTGTTTCGGTTCCAAAAAAAATCTATCTATACACGCCGTTTAATAATTATAAGTACCTAAGTGAAGCTCGACGATACATCTAAAAGCACGGTCTAGATGCTACGTTTTGCATCAAGTTTTGTCTGCACAGTTCAACACGTGATCAGGTATCAGTAACGTAACGTCTGGACCGGGCTTAAGTCTGTAAAATCATAAAACGTACTGATGTGAACCATGGTTTATGAACGTCAAAGTCATCGAAAAAACGACAGCGCACCGACAGCGACAGGTGTTCAGACGGCTGCGGACGATCGTAAATTCGTCAAGTTGGATCCTATATACCTAATAGCCTGCCCCTTACTGTATAGAAAAGGCTTGTGTTGCCAACATAGTTACTAAATTTTTGACTTGGGGAATAGACCGATCTCCTATTACCTGGACTGCGCGCGTCGCTTGTAGGCTGCAGGTGAACGTCCAATGAGAAGCAAGTTTGTGACAGGCTTGCGTCATATTCTTATTCAGGAGCCAGTTCAGAATGAATCGTTCCTTCTTTCTTTGTAACGTGTAATTTGACAAAGAGCAAACTAATACTTTACATATTACTTGAACACACCGCAGTTTCGTTTAAGGTTATGTTAGATCAGCGTTGCCAGACGTACGACAGGTGTGGTATTTGTACGACAGTTTAGGGCATCTTCGTTACAAAAAAATCAATGCGTATGGTAGTACGGTAATGTACCACAGTTTTGAAATTATCCTTTTTTTCTTATGTGTGTTGGCCAAATTGGGTTTGGGTGGAGTTTGGGTACCTTGCTTGACAACCTTGCATGTCATTATGATGGGTTATGTGATGTGTCAATTATGTCATACTCCCTCTCCATCAAATTCTGGGCCTGCGACGTCACTATCAGCATCTTATAGCGATGACGTCACCCGCAGACCTCGATGGAGTGCTTGCGATTTAGGCTGTTCTAGTGAGTTAAATTTTGTCGATTTTAAATGTAGAAAAGGTGATTTTTGGTCTGTTTTAACACAGAAGAAATTAAAAGCGTTTTCTCGCGGGGCGAATGGTTCAATTACGGTTTAAACCAATTTGTAGATGACGTCATTACTTATGAACTCATTATATACCTCAACTATTTTAGGGGAGCCCTATCAATAAGTATTCCCTAAAATGACATTTTTATATGGAGAAATATCAGTTTAAAGGCATACTTATTGTTAGGGCTTCCCTAAAATAGTTGGTGGAAATGGCCATTAGAAAAATTAAGAAGAAATCGAAAATTCAAGATTCGGGAATAGACAAAATATGAGCTAGAAAAATTGAAAAATAAAGAATAAATAAATATATACTTAGATAATAATACCTGAGTAACATAAAAAAAATTGCAAAAATATTGCGGCAGGGGAATATGGTGTTGGTACCGAATTTCTATTTGAAAAAGTTAAGTCACTGTAGGTGGGCCGGGGCCATTGGAAAGGGTCGAAAAGGAAACAACCAATCAAATACCTTGACGATACATAAACCCCTAAGAAAAGGACTTTATATGTGTAAGGAAACTGAGAAAGGTCTCTTTCCAACACATTGTTTCTTGTGACGGAAACCGAAATAAATTTTTTTCTCGAAAAAGAGATAAACCTATCGAACTTTATATAATTGAAATCGGAAAAAGCAGAGCTTTCTAATGAGCTATCAATATATAGGGTGTCCTATTGAAAAAAACCAGACTTTGGTCAATATCTCGGAGTTGGGACCAACTAGAAAAAAACTGAGAACGTCACTGAATTCTGCTTGAAAAAGTGCTTCTAGAAAGTTTTTACGAAAATCAATAATTTTCATAAACAAAAAAGTTATGATGGTTTCACATTATTGCTCAAAATCGAGAATCGCCCTCTAGCGGCTAAACGGTTCAAGATATCAAAATGCGGTTTGCAACAATGAAAATTTCATGAAATTTGAGCCTCAGAGTGGGGGGTTCATTTTTTTGTATCTCGCTCAGAAATTGATGTTAACTATTGAAAGTGTCCAAATTGGCCCACCCTGTACTTACGTTACGCACCTTTTAGAAGACATAAAATGTCACGCACCAGTGCGTAAAGTAGTTTTTTTACTACTAACCTGAGAAATAGTCATTATTCAATCTATTTTTCTAGGAAAAAATTGAATTTCTCTCCCTAGGTGAATAATGAAAATAATGAAAAAATACCTAGGTCAATAATGAAAATGACGTCATGACGCAAGGATATTGCCATGTTTCTATTGGTTCAATTTCAATTTCATACGTCAATTTGAAAAAAAAATACAGGTTTCAGTAAGTACATAGTAAGTTATCATAAGATGTTGATAGATGGCAGCACTTTGAAGAGGGCGTTCAAAAAAAAATAATTAAGAGCACAGATTTTAAACAATTTTTTTTATTTTCTACTAGCAGTAGTAAAAAAAATTCTATATATTCCTCGGTAGAGAAAGTCATTATATACCCCACGCATTCGGTATATAATGACCAACTTCTCTACCTAGGTATATGATATACTATTTTTTACTACTAACCTGAGAAGTAGGCATTATTCCATCAATTTTTCTGGGTAAAAATTGAATTTCTCTCCCTGGGTTAATAATGAAAATAATGAAAAAATACCTATAGGTCAATAATGAAAATGACGTCATGACGCAAGGATATTGTCATAACTTAACAGGTTTCTATTGGTTTAATTTCAGTGTCAAACTGTGAATTTTAAAAAAAGTAGGTTCTTGTATGTACATTATAGGAAATTACCGTAAGCTGTTGATAAGGTAGCACTTCCGACAAGAGAAAATAATTTGAGCACAGGTTTCAAACCTATTTTTTATTTTCTACTAGCAGTAGTAAAAAAAATTCTATATATCCCTCGAGAGAAAGTCATTATATACCTTACGCATTATAAACCTCGGCGCTCGGTATATAATGACCAACTTTTCTACCTAGGTATATAATGTACTATTATGAAAAAAAACTTATTTATTAGGTAGGCGAGTTATGAGCTTCTTTGGCACCCTTTCAGTAATACTCCGGAACTTTGCAGCAAGGAAAAAGGCACAAAATTCCTGTAATAATTTCCAAAGCGCACAGTCCCAATTGAATTGTACAAATAATGTATTCGAATCGTAGGACTTCACTTTGTAAAAACATTAAGTACACCACACCAACCAATGAAGGAATTGTGAGTAAAATTGCAACAATTATCAGCCATTCTAAAAACAAATACAAGGTAGGTATTATTAACTTAATTAGTTATTTGTATATTTACTTACTTTTTTCTGTTAAATTTCCTCTTCGTGCAACAATAATTCTTAATATTTCTATGCAGCATACAGACACAAGAACCGCAAAATCGGTTTGGAAATGGTGCAGTTCCATAAAATTAACATACTTTACAACGTTCATGCCGATTTCGCAAACAGCAAATAATCCAAAATAATAGGAATTTAAATAAAGGAGTACCTCGAAGGTTAGGGAAGTGTTAATTCTACAATTATCGGTCATTTTCCTCAATTTGTTTGTATCAAAACATGTTTTATAACAAAGTAAAGTGCCTTTTGAACAAATCGATATTCAAATTGTTTCAGATGCGCGCGGTTTTTGGTTTGTAAAAAAAAGAAGCCATCGAGGCTAGTGCCATCTTGTGGCTAACTTCACTCACTCTCTAAATAAATCCTAACCCTAACCTAAAAAATATATAAATACAAAAAAAGTAAGTATGGTAAATTTTTCTGGGTTTTCAAGTAATTTTTTGAATATTTTTAGAAAAAGCAGATTAATACTTTATAGAATGACCGAGAAAGCATCCATAGAACGTGTTAAAGCGAACGCCCAACTTGCAAAAGATACAATTAATTCACTTAAAAATGAGGTAACAATTTTTATCAAAACTTGCAATATTGTACCACAAAAACATTGACTTTTGTAAAACTGAATCTTATCTGATAGTTTAATAACCTGGCAGTCTATGATATCCAACCCTGTTAATATATGAGCGTATTTATTGCCCCTCATGATGGGATTTACCTCTGGATTTACCAATCCCGAAACATGTAAGGGCCGTTCAAAACGAATGAAGTATTTGTGGAGGAAGACTTTGAAAACATTTCGATGAAAAATATTCTTTTTTTTTTTGTTGATAACCTATTTTATGTCCGATTGACCAATAAAGTGCCATTTATAGAACAGTTTTGCGTCAATAAAGTAGCACTTTATTGTACTAGTAAAATAAAGTGCTACTTTATTGCCTATTTGGACTACCTGACAAGGTGAAACAGGTCCTGACAACCTGCCAAGGTGAAACAGGTCCTGAAAATCTGCCAAGGTGAAACAGGTCCTGAAAATCTGCCAAGGTGAAACAGGTATACCTACCTACGCGAATTTCACTTTTTTCATTAAATTTTTTTAATTTTTAACAAAAAGCAGTCGCAATCGTACATAAAATCATGTATATGACGCATACATAAACAGGCTTTATTGACTCATTATTTAATAGCCTCGCTCGCAAGCTTGCTCAGCCATAAAATTATTCGTACAATAAAGCCTTACTTTATGTACTTGTTATATAAATAGCTATTACTTATTTAAAGTACTCCTCAGCGTGTTTAAATCCAACATTTAAAAACGCGCGTGTTTTAATAAAGTTACCATGACAACATCAACAACCCCCAGAAAGGTAAAGTCTAAATGTCAACTTTTTAATTATTGATTTGTCAGACAACAAAGGTATACCAGATGTCATATCATAAATTTGGCATTCTACAACTACGCCGTCGTGCTCGAAAATATCCACTTATACTTTAATATACTATTTTAAACCAGTTCTAAAAGAGAGTTTAAAAGCTTTCAAAAAAGAAGGGTAATCGTAATTTTTCCTTTCAAAAATTCTCTGAGGACTCCTTCCACTTCAGTTAGAAAGAATGACCTCAGAAAGGACCATAAATTTTGAGGATTCAATGTATTCAACTGAAAACAGGATATCACATAAATGACAGACAAGTTTGAGAATTCAAGAGACAGTTAGGTAACAAGGTTTAAGTGAAGTTATACTTAAATGGTCTTAGGTCCTAACCAACTAACTTCCTACTTGGTAGGATGGTAAAATCATCTCATTTCTCTTCAAATTGACCCATAAATCTAACTGAAAGTATTATGCAACAAATTGATAATGACCCAATAATAATAATCATTCATCACATAGGTTTCTGACTGCTAGATGGCTTATTATTCCTGAGGAATAACGTCATCATACCAATACACACCAGTACACCTTTGCTCCTGAAAAACGTTTATTTGAGGAATAAACTTCCAAAAAATGAATATTGCCAATATTTTCAACTTCTATTAAACTCGATTATTACCTACTCTCCTAAGATATAGTAAGTGAAAATCGAGGTGAAAATTAAAAAACCTTAATATGATTTTTCATTGGAAGAATTTCCCCAATCGAAATCTTCAAAGCCAGTGGACTTTTTCAAAATAAAAATAAATAAATTGCTTCTTTTCAAATATTTTAACACCCTTTTAGCAGCTATCCACAGTTTTCACCCACAGTCCACCACATCCCTTTAAATTGGTGGATACAGTTATTATTGATGTAGATTTATCCAGAAATTCTTAGCTATTAGGAAAACTAACACTTTATCCTGAAAAAGGTTTTCCACCATGGGCAGAAATCGGTTTTATTATTCTGATCATTGGATTCTTGTATATTTTACTCTTTCCAGTAACTGGCAAACAAGGAAGAACCAAAGAATACCTATTCGATTAGTGAAAAATATACCAGGGTGTTCCATTTTAAAAAATGCAAGTTGTGTCTGCCACATGTTTTGCGTGCACCCTGTATATATAAAAGTTATATTTTATATAAATCCCTATTTACTTTGTATTTATTTATTTTTTCAATTTTGCTTCATAGGCGAGCTATATGCTTTCAAAATATATGGAACAACGAACAACCCTGTATATATTTGTAGCGAATGAGAATGCGTTATCAGTCACAAGATTTTTTGTTTAAGGCCCGGTTTATTCACCTTCTAATAAACTGTCAGGTAATGCTATCAATAAAATTTGTTCAAACTATAAAAAGTTCCTCGTTCCTAAGCATATTCAATTTATCAATATGTAGTACTTGCTAAGTACAGGGTGATCTATTATAAATGTCACCCCCTCCTATCTTTTTCATTTGACGTTTTTGAATAAGTAAAAAGAAATCTATACAAAAGCTTTAAGAAATTGTCAAAAACTTCTGACTAAGTCAGTTTCAAGCATACATGGTGCGCCAAAAAAGTGTACCACTGCGAAATTATATTATTTCAAAACCATATACAGGGTGTCCCACCGGGAACCAAATCGATCTATATATGAAAAATTGAATGCAGAATTTTTTTTAAAATTTAACAGTATACCAATGCCAATTGAGGCAACCCGGCTAAAATGTTTTCAAGATGGTGGCACTTCCGTTTATACCGGAAGAAGACGTCAACTTGCTTATTTTGAATGAGACACCCTGTATGTGATTGTATATTTGGATTCTACGTAAAATTCTGGGCAGATTTCATGTAATATATCCTATACCTAAGCTCAACTGTTTTGGAAATATTGACAGTTGAAAATTGACTTTTTGCAACTTTGACAGGCTGTAAAACCTAGACGGTTAATTTTAGAGGTAAACCGATTTTACATTCCTATCTTAGATTTTTATAAACTATCATTTTTACACCAACTTTGAATTCAATCCATGATTGAAAATTACAAATCAATTTAATCCCTGGTTAAATTCAAAGTTTATGTAGAATCCAAATATGCAATGACATACAAGGTGTCTCATTTAAAATAAGCAAGTTGACGTCTACTTCCGGTATAACCGGAAGAGCCAGCATCTTGAAAATATTTTAGCTGGGTTGCCCCCATTGTCAAATTTTCAAAAATTTTCTGCATACAGTTTTTCATATATAAATCGATTTTGTGGGTCCGAGGGTGGAACACCCTGTATATTGTGCGCTTATTTGTTATTCCCCTTCACCCTGATTTCAAGGATATGGTTTGATATGTCTATTTTCAATAGTTATAGGGAAAAACATGAAAACCCCTTTCAAGCTCTCATGTTGAAGACAGAAAAATTATTATATACCATTTAAGCTTTAGAGAGAATTGTTAATAAAAATTTATTGTTCAAATGTTATTCATTAATTTACAAGGTGGAAATATTCTAATAAATCCAGATGTCTTAATCTATTATTATTATTGAAAATAACATGAGACTTAAGGGATTTTCGCGTTTTTCTCTAAAACTATTGAAAATAAACCAAGAGATAAACATTATCAAACCATATATCGATGAAATGAGGTTGAAGGGGACTATATACATGGCCTTTTAAAAAAATACAACTTCGCTCTTCTCTGCTACACTTTTTTGACGCACCCTGTATACTTAAAACTGACTTAGTTTAATACTTTTGTATCTGACACTTCTGTCAAAAACATCAAATGAAAAAGTTGGGAAGGGGCGACATTTATAATAGATCACCCAGTAGATACCTACTACTGATTGATTTTCAATAATATTGAAATAGAAAAATCAACAGATTTCAAGACAAATAATTGAAAAAGGAACTTTTTCTTGACTAAAATCAACAAGATATCAAAGAAGACCCACAATTTTACAAGCCTCCTAGATTTTATTTTTATTACATATCTTCTTGCATATTTTCAGCTTGGTTTCATAAATAGAGAATACAATAACATTTTGGCAATGCAGCTTAAAGAAGAAAACGCAAAACTTCAAGCAGCAGTGGAACAAGCTAAAATTAAACTGATAGAACTTGAAATTCAGAATGGGATCAAACAAATTCCAGTCCCAAACCAAAAACAAGCCACAGTCTTGACAAGTGCCGCGGTCACAGAACCACCTCAAATCCAACAAGAACCCCAAAACGAATCTGCTAAACCCAAAAAAGAGAAAAAACCTAAAGAACCTAAAGCGCCAAAAGAAGCTGCTGCCGAACTGCCAGTTGATGTAGGACGTTTGGATCTCAGAATTGGAAAAGTGCTAGACGTACAGAGACATCCAGATGCTGACTCACTTTATGTTTTGAAAATCAATTGCGGAGAAGATAAACCTAGAACAGTTTGCTCTGGATTGGTTAAATATATCCCTATTGACGAATTAAAAGATAGAGTTGTATTGCTTTTGTGCAACTTAAAACCTGTTAAAGTAAGCATAATATTCATAGATTATGTAAAGTTAAGCAAGCTATTATTATAGATGCGTGGTATAACTTCTGAAGCTATGGTAATGTGTGCCAGTAGCGATCAAGGCGTGGAAGTACTAATTCCGCCAGCAAATTGCGAGCCTGGCGATTTGGTCCATTGCGAGGGCTACACCAGACAACCAGACAGTGTGATGAATCCCAAAAAGAAGATATTCGAAACCGTAGCGCCTGATTTGCACACCAACGACAAATTAGAGGCATGCTACAAAGGGAAACAACTCAATGTTCCAGGAAAGGGTAATTTTACTGCAAAGACTTTGAAAAATGTTCCTGTTAAATAATAGAGCATATTTTTGAGAATTTAGCTGTATATCGATAAAACCTTATAAAACTATATTGGATTTTCAGAAAAATAATAAAAATATAAGCAAGAATCAAGATGGATGTTTAGTTTTTGTTGTCCTGTCCAAGTTTGTAGATTTTTTTGAAGAAATGTTTGAATTTGTACAAAAATTTATGATAATTAGCTTTCAACTGCAAAAAAGTTTTGGCGCAATATTGCGATCTAGGATATATGATCAGCAATTCGAATATCACAGTTTTAGAAAGATGGTCAAGGGTACTAGATGGAAGACATTTTGTGGAGGTCTTATATTCAGATTACCAGGAAACATTCCAGTTTTTTTTTAAAAACTGTTTTTTATTGTTGTTACGCAACTCTGATTTTGTAAAAGTTTGATTTCAGAATCTCAGCATGGTTTTTAAAAGAATGAGTATATACTGTATAGTAATTAATTCAGTTTGCTCAGAAATCATTAGACAGATGGAGGGTGAAAAGCTGGTATATAAAAAAGAGTACCAACAATTTGCAATAAACGAATATTTATTTATTTTTTACATAGTTTTCACACTAGAAAAACTCCTAAGCTTAAGTAATACACAAACTTCAGAATGCATCACTTGAAGAAAAAACGATGATTGCAACAAACTTGGAAGACTAATATACCGAATTAGTCGAAAATATTAAAAATTAGTTAATATACCGTTATAGGGTGAGCTATGTACAAACTTAAAATTACACTACAAGGTTGTCATCTGCTATATTTTTCATTCATCCTGCGAAAGAAATAATTAAATTAGTTAAGGAACAAATGTAAGGCATAACAGTATCCGCTGTGAATATCACATAAGAAGCACCCACTCAAAAATCTTGAAGAGTCAATTTCTTAATGAATAGGTACTTCTAGCTTGGGACACCCTGTAAATTAAAAAGTACAACCTGCAGGTCTCCCAATCTTCCATTTTTTTGTTCCATATCGGTTTATCTCCTGCGAGATCTCTTACCCCTGCTGGACGACCTCGAAGATCTGCGTCTCCTAGAGCTGGAACGTTTTGATCTTGATTTATTGTGTGATCTCGTGCTTGAAACTGAACGTCTTTTTGATCTGTCATATGATCTAGATCTCCTTGATCTTTTACTACTCGATTCGTACTTTTTTGAGGGGTATTTGCGATCACGTGAGCGACTTCGGCTTCTAGATCTGCGCGATGAGTAGCGAGAACGTTTTGAGGATTTTCGAGAAGAGTAGGAAGGAGAACGAGAACGGCGTGAGCGTTTCGAGTATCTGGAATCTGACCTAGACCTACAAACGATCGAATCGTATACAATAAACTAAAACCAATAATAATTACCGTCTGCTCCTTTTCTTGGAGTCAATGCTTTCTCTTCTATTATAACTTGCTGATCTATCCCTTCTGGAGCTTATAGATCTAGATTGTCGTCTTTTACGGCTGCGTGGTGGAGATTCACTTCTGGAACGACTTTTGCTACGCGAATCAGAATGTGAAGACGAAATGTGTCTTGACTTTGATGAGCTGCTTGAAGAATTATCATCCTTGGCGCGCTTCTTTTTTGGACTTTTGTCATCGTCAGAATATCCTCGATTGACTTCTAAAGAAACAATGAAGACTGTTAATTCCTGATGAAATATAATGAATTATTAAACCATAATTTGCTACAAGTACTTTTCAAGGATCCTAAGCTTGAGAGTATCAAAATGGGGAGGTTAAAAGAGCCAAATACTGACCTTGCCCGTTTGCCTCTACCTGTGATTTGCTATCATGTGAGTCCCGGCTCGAAGAACGACTTCGACTGGGACTTCTGCTACCATCTTTCTTTCTTTCAGCTTCGGCTAAACGATTTTCAATTTGTTGTTCTGTTTTTGAAAAAGCTGCTTGGCGTTTTTTGATGGATTCCTATCAATTGACAATTTTAGATGTTAATCAAATAAATGAAGTTGTTATTTACTCTCAGGTCAGCATCAGAATCAGAAGTATCTTCATCCTGGTTATCGTTGTCAGAATCCTCATTGCTGGACGATCCTTCATCATATGCACCCAGACCTAATATATTTAATTGGGATTATTTTTAAATGTAATCTTTGGAAAATATTGCCATGAAGGTGGTGGCAAAACAAGAAATTTAATTTTCTGCATTTCTTTTTAGAAATTTTCTAGCTTTGTAGTGTGCAACTAAACTCTGATGAATATATAATTTTGTCCCCCTTATACAAATACATTAAAGAGTTATAGTCAAATGTTCATTTATAAATTATCATCATGCATAAACAGTACTCAATTTGAAATAAATTAATACTGGTGACTAAAAATCGAATATGGTGTGATTGTACGTATTGCAACTAATAGCAAAAACTTATCTATAAATTAACTATTAAAGATAAAAGTTGGGCATAATTTATAGTCCTTTATGATTTCAAGGCCCCTATGTTTCAACTACCAACTCGCAAGAAAACATCAAAGTACCTATCTCCTAGACAAAAAAGCATAGGAAAAAAATATTGAATATCTACACTAAAGACACTTACCAAGTTTGGCTTTTATGATGGCACCACTGGGTGCTGATGCTAGCTGATCGGAAGCTGAAGGTTATAACATTCAATTAATAAGAACTTTTCTCTATTCTTCTTGACAATACCCGCTATAAAAAGTCTTACATACAATGAATGAGGGAAGGGATATTTTATGTAACTGGATGTGATATAACAAAAGAGTTTCTGTCCAAAAATACAGGGTGAATTTTTCAAATATTTAAATTCTTCCAGAAATATTTGTTTTTGTTTCGTCCTGAATTTTTGAGGTAACTAAAAATCCATTTACTGCCATACCACCAAATAAAAACAACTGGGACTGATTTTTGGTTGCTTACCAATTTTTTTTCCATATTTTCAATTTTCACAATTATTAATAATTTTGTTATAACACAAAAAGTCCCTATAAATAGATAAACAACTACAATACCTCTGCGTTTTTTTAAATACCGTTGCCTTTCCTCTTTGCATGTCTGTTCAATCAATTGATTGGTCACTTTTAACAAGATTTCTGTCATCGTTTTACGGACTTTCAGCATCTGATAGAATAGAATGGTAAATTAATTAAACAGAAAATTGTATTGACATAAAATACTCACAAGTTCCTCTGGAGTAAGAGGCACTGGAGGTGTTGGTGAAACTGGCTTTTTCCTCACAGGCTCATGATCATCAGAGTTTTCATTATCACTGTCCTAAAGTTCATTGCATAATAACAATAGAAATCTTTTTAAAATATTTTGCTTACAAATCTACTTTTCCTCAATAAATTCTTTTCCTTCATGGTGGTTTTTAATATCTCCATTTTTTCTAGTTCCTCCAATTTCATTTTTTCTGTATACTCATCCCTTACTAGTTTCTCTTTTTCCTTTTCCAACTCCTTCAGTTTGTCTCTTTCCATTTTTTCCAAGCCTATATTAAAATTCTTGTAAGACAAAACAAAGCCTCAAATTCTAATACTCACCTTCTCTGATCCATGCAGGCAACTGTTTTCTTTTATTGGCGTCCAACGTGGGTGTTGGTACAACAGGTTCTTCTGGGATTAAAGGAGGCAGCACTTTAGAAGTACCAACAGCAGCAGCAGGAGTTATTATAGTGACTTTGGTAGGCACATTCACTTTGCTATATCGTTTATTATGCGGTTTTATTTCGGTTTGGGTCACTTTGCCTACAGCCATGCCTGTCCAAAACGCTGGCTGCTGCTGCTGACTGGTGAAATTATTGCTTGAAGTTTGCGAGGTTGTGTTGTAGCCTTGAAAAATGTACAAAGATTTATGTGATGAACTTAAAGTACCTTTTTTGCTATGGAAGGCCATGAAATTAGTAAGTTTGGTGATCAAGGTGGTATAATTTTATATGATTTTCCTTCAAATGAGACACATATTTGACCGCCACAAGCTGTGATTATTTTCATTTTCTAACCATTTAAACATTGAATGGAAGAAAACTCTTGCATATTGGCAAAGTAATGATTTTTACCAAAGAGTTGCATAGGTAAACCAGAAATAGTTTAGCTTAGTAACCCAGACAGCTAAATATTTAGTCTCAAGATCCATTTAGATTTAGAGTACAAAATAGGTCATGGTAAATGTATGTGAATTTTCATCAAAGACTAAAAATATAAGGATTATGTACCTCCATAGGGTACAGCATTATCACTAGCCCCATCCGAAGGTGAATAAGTATTATTCGGTGTGGGTAATAAAGGAGCTTTCACAGGTGCAATAAGTGGCGGAGGCACAGCACTGGGAGGATTCCAGCTATTATTCCAGTTCCAATTTTGTCCAGTTGAGGGTGGATTCCAGTTTGTCCAAGCTTCAGCACCTGGGGCTGGTGGCGCCTCGCTCCTTTCTGGAGAATTCCAGCTTGGCGCGTCATCTCTATCGTCCATATCCATTTCGGCTTCGCCGCCCTCTTGGCTATCATCAGGGACCTCTTGAATTTTCTCTGGCTGAAATGGAAAGCATAAATTTAGAGTGATTTTGTGGTAATAATATACCTGACGTTGGCCAGGAATCGGCGGTGGCCCGGCTTCTTTCATAATAATCCATTGCTGAGCCAGAGCTGCCCAATCTACTAGATCGTTGGATGTATTTTGGTAGGCTGCCGGATTCATCGCCCATTGAGTGCATTTCTGTGAATCTGTAGATTCGCCACCCGAATACATTTTTTCAGGAACTATAAACAGACAACTTTAGGTTCGATTAACACCATTAGTTATGTCCCTTCTTTTAAGGGAAAATCAATTTTAAATTTTTCACTAATTTTAATTTCCATTACATTAAAAATTCCAGGAGGACTCGGAGGAAAGGGAAATGGGAAATGTCACAGTGTACATGACAATTATTTTTGACATTTGACTATTTCACTTATTTGACAAATGAGGGGTTTTCATTTGAATCTGTTATGTTTGCCCCAACCTGATCTGATTGTAAATTGCATTCTCGTTACACTCCGTGCAGTCGGAGTACTCCATACACACTCCGGCCTTTTCAGAGCTTTGAAACCCCGGGCTTTGATGCTCTGGGGGCGCGTCAGCGCACGATCTGAAAAGTACGGTACTAGGTGTGAAATACAACTAATCTCACTTGCGCAAAATTCGTTCTTTTTTTGACATTGTTTCAAAAATTTTACGTTTTATGCGTGTATCAAACGTCAAATCGTCAAAGAGCGAATTTCGCGCAAGTGAGAATGGGCGTGTTTGGGTTGACGCTCGGCGGAGCGAGCAGAGCGAATATGGAGTAACGTGACGTCACAGGGAGTACACCGTGTCAAGCCAAATAAACTTGTGCAAAAATGCTGGGTTGAGCGATCAACTGATTATTGATATTGTTTATTTTTCTTAGCATATATTTTTTGGATTCCGAGCCCGCATTCCGCATTTGCACTAGAGTTTTCTCGTTTGTTTTGCATTTTAGTTGATAATTTTCAAACTGCCCCATTTTCGTTTGTATTCTGCAGAAAATGTCGTGCTACATACACAATAGTTGTATTCCTTTCACACCTAGGAGGAGCTCCGGGGCTTCACGCCCCTATTCCTTTCGAAAAGTGTTTGTTGCACCACGCATCTGTTCCCTGCAAATTGGGGGCTCCTGAACATCGGAGCGAGTAGCTCGAGTGTTTGAAACTCTTGAAAGGAATACAACTATTAAAACGGACCTAAACACTCTGAGGCTGCCAAGTTCCCTTGGAAAAATATGTTCAATAATACCAGTGATGAGGGCTATCGAAAAAAAATTAATTAAAAGTGAACAATTATGCAAAATTTACTAGCTATTTGATTGTTAACATTTAAACAAAATAGCTAAAACTATCCACTTAACAAGTATATGTTAAAATTCAGGATTGTTTATTTATCTTATCATGGAAAATAGGTTAGGTTATACAGACAGATTAAACACATTTGATCTGCGCATGCACGATCCAGCTGCCCACTCCCCAAACTCGAAGTCGTGAACCCAACGCGCCTAATGAGAAGGCATAACGCTCCGAGTAAGCACCTGTTGATTTATAAAGGGTTATGAGTTACTCTAGGGTCACTCTCACAACCAGAGCCGCTTTCCGGTATGGGAGTTTGACGCCTGGAGCTAATCGGGGCGTTGAGCCCCCGAGCTGTACGTACGTGTCAACCTGTCAGCTGTCACATCCGTGGGTGGCTATTTATTTATTTATTTCTTGTTATATCTCAAGATTAAACATTTTAATAAATATAGTTTTGATTCTTTCATCTATGATAAATAAAAAAACAACCTGCACAAACAAACAGATAATTATTTTTAAAATTTGACATATTTGACACTAAGACAGGCGTCTCACGTCCTGATACTGGAACGGTACAAATCTAGTGCGTGGCGCCCCCGAGGTGCTCTGGAGCGCGCCAGAGCGCGCCAATGTGCATACTGGAAAGCGGCTCAGAGTGCTATCTCTAAACGCAACCCTTTACTAGTTAGCCAATAAAAAGGCATTGCCTCGTGCTGCGCGCGCATACAAGGGAAAAATAGATAGGTCCAGAGGCCCGACTTTTGAAAGTCTTCATGGGTGCAGGATAATAACTTCATAAATTTGTTTATAAGGAGAGGAGGAAGCTCGCTGCAGGCGCCGCCTAAGGCGAAAATTCCTATCTACGAGCGTGCAAAAAGAGCCCTTTCTTCATTTAAAATCGACGAAAAAATTAACTCACTAGCACAGCCTGAATAGCAAGCATTCCGTCGAGGTCTGCGGGTAACGCCATCACTATATAAGCTGCTGATAGTGAACGCTTCACAATTGTTCGGCTGAACGCTACGTTGAATAAAGATTGTTTGAGTAACCTGTTGGTTGCCTGATAACTTTATGACATCATCTGGGGTGCATCAATATAATGCAAATCCCCATAAGGCACCCCAGGATGCGTCATCAAGTTACCCATCACCAGAGAAAACCTTATCAACTTCAGGAACCTTGGTTCAGACCAAACATGTTCAGCAATCCCCAACACGTGTTTTTTGTGGTGACATGACATGTGGGTGACGTTTTATCATTTTGAAAATTTTGAAGGGCCAAATTATGGACAGACTGGTAAACGTCTGGTTGTTACCTAGCAAGTACTTTCTATACTCTATATCAGTGGTGGACTTTTTTCTTCTGCGCCCCCTTTCTGAAATCAAGAAGTGGTCGCGGCCCCCATTATACAAAAACATTTTTTTTGCTTACTGTAATACTCGTCTGATGAGGCGTTTTCTCGCGTCCACTTTTTTGAAAATGGTTCTCAAAACTATTTTGAAACAGTGCATTCTGGCGATAAACCCATGACGTCACGTCAAAACTGGTTCAAACCGTTTTGAAATACAATCCAATCCACGTTTTCAAACCATTTTCTCGCTCCAAGAAATTATATGTGACATTACTTAAACCAGTTTTGAAAAATGTTTTGAAATATTTGAGACGCGAGAAAATGCATCTGGACTTTGGAAGAGGAGGAATGGGCATGACAGTGGGTAGCGAGCATGCGCTGTAGCAATGATCGCATGGAAAAGCTGCTTTGGCTAGGTAACAACCAGTCACTTACCAGTTGGTCCATAATTTGGCCCAGAGCGGGTATTATAAAACTGTTTTGACAGATGGTAAAAAGTTAACTTTTAGAATTACTATGGGAAGTAACGTCATTCCAAGTTAACTGTCAAAATAGTTCTATAATACCTCTGTTTACAACCCGTTTTGGTTCAAGGATAATACACTCTTCTACTACAGGATAGTCTATCCTCATAAGGCCTGTGTAGAACAAATCTGAAGCCCCCCACCAAGTCAAATCTTCAGTTGTGACATAGGTAGCGTGCCGTTTCTTGCCTTGACGTAGAGGCTGTTTGCACAACAGGTTATGATTCCGCGGACTTTTGCTTACCTGGTTTCACTCATTGAGGTAGAATAAAAAAAGAGACGCTGTCATCATTTGAATAGTGCAATAGATAAGGATATCGGTAGGCGTACAGTGACTCTATAACCCACAGTGGCGACAATTGCTGTCTCATTTTTGATTGGTTCTAAAATCCCATATATTTATATTGAAAGCACCGCCATCTTGTTCCCAACCCCTTGTTACTTTTAAATATGAATATATGGGATTTAGGTGAACATTCATCATAAATCATGGTAAACAACGTATTTGATGGACCTGATAATGGTCATCAAATACGTCGATTTCAATTTTTTATGATAGATGTCCATTTAAATCCTATATATTAATATTTAAAAGCAACAAGAGGTTGGGAACAAGATGGCGGCGTGACCTCTATTGTCGCCACTGTATGTAAAGGTTTATTTAGCCACTGTAGGTAGGCGCGGTTAAGGGTACCAACAATATGGCTGCTTAAACAGGGCAGAACTAAATGGATTCTCTATAATTTTTATCTAAAAACGAAAAAAAAAATCTACAATACACCAAGAAAGAAAAATTTGCTCTAGAAACTTCAACATACTGAAACAGGAGATCCTTCCAAGACCCAAAATAGAAGTTCTGCGCTTCAAAATTTTTTCGCATTTAAAACATCTTCGGATGGAAAATGCGGCCCTGATGCATTACTAATCAACATTCCAAACAACTCCTTTTTAGATCTCGTTTGCATCTTCCTCTTTCCTTATTATGTTGATCAAAATTAAATGATATTATTCATCACAAATTAAAATTCCAAACTAGGACCACTAGCGCAAACATATGACGACTTAGTTGATGACGTCCAAAATGGTGATACACCAATATGGCCGCGATTACCAAAAACGAGGCCGATAAGCAATCGTAGTGTGTATTATCGTTGGATTTGGTTCTTGTGAACGCAGCCAATTGTATCGAAACTATCGCTTTCTCATGTTAATATCGATATGAGAAAGTAGTAGGGACTTTGGAAGAATATCGTATCGATATTCGATATGTATCGTATCGTCCGCCATTTTCTTCCAAGAGCTAAAAGAGCGCTAGCGCTACTCATTACGGACTTTTTTGCTAAAATTTAAATACGTAACTTAGGCGTAAAATCTTGAAGATGGACCATTTTAAGTATATTTTCCCAATTTTTGAACAAAAATCAAATTTACTGAGAACCCTTTTCCCTTGTAATAAACTAATCATTAATAAATGATCCGCTAGTAATACTAAACCTTCTATCCTTCAATTTTTTTACTCTTATAGGCTACAAATTTATATGCATGTTATCAGCAATCTTTACCCGTAATCTTTATTTAACCTATAACCGAATAACTTTATTTCCATTTTACAAAACATTAAAAATGCTGATTGTCCTTGAATTTATACGAACAAATACTACGTTACTTATTTAGAATCATGATTAAAGCTTGCCTTACCCCAAAAGAATTAATGCAACATTTGAAAACTACCAAAGGATTTAACCGACTTATAGATAAGGTAAGTAGTAAACTTCAAGCTTTTCAGATAGTCATATTTTAAGTCATTTCACAGGTAAAAATCATTTCCCTAGAAAACGGAAATGGCTTAGCAGAATTCACAATCGAAGAGGAACACACAAATTCAATGGGCCATTTGAATACAGGATGTGTCGCTCATGTATCGGATATGCTATCGAGTTTTGCAGTTTCTACTCACAAACTCGGCAATGCCAATAACTTTCATGTATCTGTAAATATGAATTTCGAGTAAGGGATTCTAGAAAGTAATTAATTTTCTTTCTTTTTATTGGGTTTTGGATCTTGTCTCATTTTTTTTCTGTTTTAGATTATGTAATCCTAAAGTCAAAATTGGAGATCAAGTTCAAGTCCATACTAAACTCTTAAGTTGGTGTCATACTTTGGCCTTTCTAGAAATTCTTTGGAAGAACAAAAGTACTGGGGACATTGTAGTTAAAGGACATCACAATATGTTACGAATGAAATAAAACTATCAGTCAATCTTATTATTAAGTACCTACTTAAGAAATAACCACAATATAATGTGGGTACAGATTGTTGGACATAAATAGACCAAAAACTTATTTTTTTTTAAACCTTGAATACAATTAAGTACTGTATTCCTTTTATACATCGAGTTGCACCGAACGAGCTCCTCGGAGTCACTCCAAAACATACAATTCAGATTTTATCATTATTTTTTAATATTAACATTACCTTCATTACCTAAAAGGGCTTCTTGCACCCCCCGCAAATTTGGGGCACCAGGGGAAAGGGGGATGCACTATGAGCGACTCGAGTGCTTTACGCACTTTTAAAAGGAACGTTCAAGCTTTTGACATTGAGCAGTTCTGAGTAACACAACGAGTAAAAGGACTATTGCCATACTCCTAAATATCAGCAATTTCAATTTCCTGGAATTACTAAATTATAAAGTTCTTGGTACTTTGGTCAAATAAAGTACCAATAAAGTAACGATCAGAAGCACAAAGATACCGGTTCAAGAAATCTGTAAAGGCATTACGAGCTTGAATACAAATTGATGGCAGCACGTATGATTCCACCCAATAAGGAATTTGAAATTATTCCGCATTTCATTTTGGGATGATTCCGGGTACATTTCATTTTTATAATTATGTGCTGTATTAAGCCAATAACATAATTAAGTTATTAAAGGTGTAAAAAATTACCAACTCGTCAGCTTTTTATTTTAAAGAAGTCGAAAACAGTTCCGATTCGCTTTTCAACATAGCAATTCAATGCCAAATAAAACAATGAATATTAAATATTCATATTGAATATTCAAATTTAAATTATTTCCAGTTTCTTTTGAAAATACACACCAAAAAAATGTCTACTATCAAACCTCACCATTTCAGACAATTTATTAAAAACTGCAAGGGCTTTGATAAAGTTCTAACCAATGTAAGTAGGTATAATTAACTATTCCCAAATAAATTGTGTTTTTAGCTTATTTTTCTGGAAGCTGAAAATGGTGGCTGTTCAGCTGAATTAAAAATCGACGAAAATCACATTAATCCACTGGGAACTCTTCATGGAGGATTATCTGCTACATTAGTGGATGTTGTTTCCAGTTTAGGCTTAACTACTCATAATGCTGCGGAATATGGACATGTTTCTATTGATATGCATCTAACGTGAGTAAATTTATAGCATTTTGTTCTATCAGAAATAATTGTTTTTCGTTTCTAGATATTACAAAAGCGCATCTATTGGAGAGGAAATTCATATTGTTTCAAATTTGGCAAAAATCGGAAAGAAACTGGCTTTTCTGGAAGTTGACATCAAAAATAAGGAGAGTCAAGAAGTGCTTGTTAGAGGAACTCATGTCAAATTTTTGTTAGGTGGATAATCCATGATAAAGAATAAATACCCTTCTACATAAAATTAGATTAGTTTCAAGTTATCAATCTCATTGTCACCCCTGGGTTAAGCATAACTCCAGGGTGAACATTGCAACTGGACATGTTTATCCTGGCGTTAAAACCAACCGGGAGGTGACCCGATATTGGAGAAACCGACCCTAAGGCAGAATAAAGTTCCCAGTGAAGTACCAAAAAAACATTTCAAAACAAGAAATGATGATGGCCTTCCGGCGTACTGCCATCAATCTCAGGCTTCAGATAGAGTTTACCTTTGTTGATAAAAGAGAAATTAAGCTAAAGCTTTTTCATAAAAATATTTTAATTAAATTAAAAATATCGTGCATTATACCTATGGTAATTTTCAAAATGAAACTATAAAAAAATATATTCATTATCTATGCTCTTTACAAACATCAATATAGATAAATAAGCCACATATATTTCCCTAATAACAATGAACACAGAAATACTGATAAAATAGTTAAAATTAGTTTTCAATTCATAGGAATTTCAGGCTCAAAACTAATGCGGATATTAACGTGAATCTTGTTGAAATAATTGCTGCGCCATTTTCAGGAATGTATTTAGTATTTTCCATCATCCAATAGAAGCCTTCCATACTGTTGTGCCGTTTCAGCTCTGCCCCAACTTCTTGACGAATCTCTTCATTATAACGATTCAACCATTTTCTCTAAAAAACAATAACTTGAATAATTGTTGCCACAATATCAAAGTTTTTCTACCTGTTGTGTTGAAAGTTGCTCAAATGCAAACATTTTCTGCTGGTAAGGAACCAAAGTTAACGTCTTAAATCCAATGTATTTGTGACCAGAAGTGTGTTGCAACCATGGTTTATCGATTACTTGGTAAACGTTTTGTAGTCTTACTCCAAAGTAACCTTCTCTGTAATAACCCGGTTCTAAAAATGCAATATGAAACATATGGGTCAGTAGCTTTTACGCTTCATTCCATTACTATTCATGGCCCAAAATGACTTACCAACTGTGAAAAACTGTCCAGATTTGAACGTCTGCTTGGTTGCAACTTCCAAATCATACTGTATAGCAATAGGAGCTAAAATAAATCTGGATAACTATCACTGGTACCTGGAATAATCGTTATTAGCTTACATTCTTTAACGCCTAAAAAAGTTCCAATCCCATGGCCAGTTTCATGCAAATAATCCAAACCTACTTCCCATAAAGACTTCCGAACTAAAACATCAGAGTCTGCCATTTTCATGTTATTTGGAAAAGTTAAACCTGCAAAAGCCATCTGGCCTATCAGCACCCTAGTATAGGCGTCTTTCATTAAACTATCAGGTTCGCCATAGTGAATTGTTCTTGTTACACTTGTTGTACCCTCTAAAATAGTTTTAATTTTGGAAAATTATAGAAATATATCCGCAAATTCTCACCATAATATTGGGCTCCAGACTCAATAACAACTGTTCCATTATTGTAAACATTAGCATTGGTGTTTCTAGTTGGAATGTAATGAGGTTTTGCACTATTGGCAGCAAATCCAATTATAGTCGTAAAACTATTGCCTAAACTTTGTAATTGCTGATATCGGAAATCGTCTAGTATACTTGCCATCGCCATTTCAGAGAATATTTTGCCATTTGCCATCTAGAAATAGAAACATTATTACTCTTCTTACAAATTTAATTTATTGTTCTTACTTGTGCCTCAATATAAGCAAAAAATTTGCACATAGCAGCTCCATCTTTGATATGTGCAATTTTCATTCCTTCGATTTCCACAGGATTTTTGACGGATTTTAAATAAATTATTGGTGATTGGTGTGGCAGTCTTTTATCAGCAAAAATATGCTCATAAATGGCATGACTGGCACCTTCACTGTAAACGCAATGAGATGGTATTAAAATTTTTTGGTATAGTTGAGACTTGATTCTGAGATCTGTCCATATTTCTGTATAGTTTCGTATTCTACAAAGAAATGTTTTTATTTAAATTGAATGTTGCGGTTTAACTTGGGTATTTACTGTACTGTATCATTATGTTTAAATTCAAACTTTGCATGTAAATATCTGAAAACATCATTTTTTTCCAGCTGCTTCCAGTTAACATATAAAAATGCATCATCCATATCGAAAATGAGGTAGCTTCTTAGAAATGGTGAAAGTGGAATGTCTCTGCCTCGAATGTTCAGTAGCCAAGCAATTTCATCTAGTGACGTTACCACCATTGCATCTGCTCCAGCTTTTTTAACTAATTCACGAACTTCTTTTATTTTCGTCGTAAAGTTTTTGCCTAAAATACTAAAATATTGTCTGGATTTTTGCTAATTATTGCAGACTTAGGTGCTTACCTGCATATTTAATATCCCAAACAAAAGCGTCTTTATTCAGTTTGGCCGGTCTTTCGTTTTTGGGCCAAATTTCATCGATGAGGCTCACATTTAGAGCAACCAATTCGATTTTAGCTTCAGCCAATTCGTGCGTCAATTTTCTCCACATGTATTCGGATATTATTTGCGGGTTGGCACCTAGCCTGGCACCTTTTGGAAATTGCGATTTCAGCCACTGAGATCTAAGGAATTTCAAAAAGAATTCAGAATTTGTCAACTGTTGAGAAATTTGACTTTTTTTGGGAATATTTAGCTATCACTTTGATAGTCTACAATAGAACATCAGGTACGATGATATAATAGTCCAAAGTCTAAATAAAAGAAGCAATATATGGAAGAAATCCGATTCCACTGCTACGCAAGCCAAGGATATCAACATTCTCATCGTACAGAGTCTCAATTCATGGAAAACTCGATTCAATGGAAATTGGGTATAGAAAAGCAGAAAATTGAAGATGAGATTTGTGGAAAAACAAATAAAGCTAATAAGTCAACTGACAGAGATCCTCAAAATATATATGGAAGAATGAAGCAAGTTCGGAAATAGATAATGAAGATTGCTAACAAAGTTTAGAGCCACATTCAGCATTCAAACCTGGTGCAAAATCATTAAAATGCATTTCCTTAGAAAAGTAGAATTATGTACCCGCTTATATAAATTTCGAATTAGACAAGAGGGCTTAGAAGATAAGGGTCGATGATCTTCTTCTTGTTATAACTATGATTCAACTTTACCTCGTAGGAATGTTTTTGTGTCCTTCCCTCATAAGCAACCAATTACAATCGATCTGTTCATCGGCCTGCAAATGATAACGTCCATCCGTCCACAAAATAGCTTTGTCCATGGTAACTATAGCATCTCCGTAACTTCCACTAAAGCCTGAAATATATTCTCGTCTTTTGTCGTAATCGGCTACTTCTACGCTCTGATGCTCATCACTGGACGTGATTAGGTACGCATCGACGGGATGAGTGAATAATCGAACTTCCGAACTCATCAGCTCTCGTAATGCGATTAACCTAAACAGAAATTGATTTTGAAATGTAAATAAAAAAAAACCTGTAATTACCTCATGGTGGTATTTACTCTTTGAGGTGGGGGCGCAGCATTTCCTCTTTTTGAGCATGCTTTCCTTAATTCGCCTTTTTGAATAAGTTCTTCGTCGAATGCCATTGAGATGGTAACAGAATCTGTAAAAAAAATACTGTATTTTTATAAGAGTATAGCAAGGAGGGGGCCATATAGTTATCCCCTCGTATACCTAATTAAAAATTATAATCTAAGCAAAGGGGTTTTTGTTACTTGTCAACAAACTTGAATTTTAATGGGAAGGATATCTGAATATTTTAATGAGGTTGGTAATCAGGAACATAGAACAGTAAACAACTATATATTATGGAACATGATCAGCTAATTTCTACCCCTTATTCATCTATTTATTTTACTGTATCGATGTTTACCACATAATAATAACATGTTTATGTGCATAGAATTAACATTTCCAGAGATAAAAATTATTACCTACCCTAATTTGAAAATTAACTGAGAGAATTTTTGTACTGAAGAAAATTCAGACATTGGTTTCCTCTATATTAATTTATAATACTCAACCACCTATATTGTGTTATAAATAGAGACACGTTCTATCAAGCAAATATCTGCAATCGTTTAAAATCCACAAAAAAATTTGGAATTTTGTGATTGAAATACATTTAAAATCTCTAACCGTGACCCATTAGGTTAGAAACGGGAACAAGGTTTCCTATCATTCAATAACAGTATAACAGCTAATAAGGGTCGTTTTAGTCTACACCCCATTATTGGCTTGTCCTTTTGTAGGTCGTTTACCCCTGTCCGGAGTTCAGTGAAATTTAGGCTGTAGAGGGCAAATTTCACAGGACATTAGAAATATTAACAGGCTAACAACCCTTAGAGCTTAGAGCGTATTTTATTAGATGATACATAATTTTCTGTAGGGTGTTTTTTACAAAATCATTTGCCAAACCTAAACTACATTTCTTTGTAAAACTTAGAGCTTTACATAATAATATTATAAAGCAAAATACGGCCGTTTCTTTCATTTACACGATTACAGGATAGAGCCAAACGTGATCAGGCTTTCAGAACGTAAAAGATATAAAACCCACCCCTCACCTACTCATTTTGCCAAACTCAAACTACATTTTCTTTGTGAAATTTAGAGCTTTACATATAGAGCAAAATACGGCCGTTTCTCATTTACACGATTACAAAATAGAGCCAAACGTGACCAGGCTTTCAGAACGCACAAGATGTAAAACCCACCCCTCAAAACAAACTCTAAGCTCTATTTTATGCGTCACGCATTTTAGTCATTCACGTCATACATAGCGCCCACCCTTCAGCCCTTATATATCCTGACAAACCCAAACACCGAAACGTCCTTGTCTGTTGCCTTGTAAGAGTTCGTCAGAATTATGCCGTGGAGGGCGAATTTCACAGGATCGAAGGAATATCGAGAGGTGAAACCACCCTTTAAACGCAAGAAGGGTGCGTTACGCACAAAAAAGGTGCGTTTCATTGGTTGCGACCTTGTAGGGAAGGCAAGTTCAGGGTAAGAATGGCGAGACACGCACGCACCGTCGAAGGACCCTTTTTGATCGAGTATTTTAGGGTCGGTGTGTTACATTTTTGGGGGTGTCGTAAAAATATTGGCAAGATTATGAATGAGCAAATAACGCTGCCGCAGTAAGGTATTTTACATTATACGATGAGTGTGTTTTCACTTGGTCAAACCAAAAAATGAAGCACATAGATAAGTAGGTAGTTATTTTGAAATATTTGATTATTTATCGAAGGGACAAGATCGCAATTGCATATGTTTGTTTGTGTCAATAGTTCACAATAATTGATATATAAAACCAATATCTTTATAATTTGGTACTAAATGAAATAGAATGCAATCTGAAAAGTCTTTCCTTTGCCCTTTGAATTTAACAAGCGAGTCGAGAAATTTGGTGGATTGATACTTGTAACTAACTATGTTAACTAACGTAGTTTATAGTTCCATTATCCCGCATATTCACAGAACAAGAAAATATTAAGACAAGAACAAACTGCATGTCGTTCCATGTTTTAATAAATAAGAACATTTTAGTCATTTGACGTTGTTCCCGTGATCAAATTTGATAATTGAGAAAACTTTTGAATTTTCTCTATTGTTTAATAGTCGAAATAATTTCACACAATTGCCCATGGCAAAGATACTACTTTAGTGTGTCTATCTGATTGTAAAAATCATAGCTCCGTTATCCTGGGCTATTTCTCAATAAAATTTTAGTATGTTGAAGCTGAAAGCTTCCTCAATAAATAAAAAAATATTTGGTTAATCCAGGTTTCCAGAATTTTCAGAAAAAAAATCAGAAATGAAACCATCAGGCCCTGGCAAAGATACCACTAAGTGTGTCTATCTGATTGTAAAAATCATAGCTCCGTTATCCTAGGCTATTTCTCCATAAAATTTCAGTATATTGAAACTAAAAGCTTCCTTAATGAATAAAAAAATATTTGATTAATCCAGGTTTCTAGAAGTTTTAGAAGAAAAATCAAGAATGAGGCCATCAACCCATGGCAAAAATACAACTAAGTGTGTCTATCTGGTTGTAAAAATCATAGCTCCGTTATCCTGGGCTATTTCTTCATAAAATTTTGATATGTTTAAGCTGAAAGCTTCTTTAATAAATCAAAAAATATTTGGTAAATTCAGGTTTCCAGAATTTTTAGAAAAAAAATCAGGAATGAAACCATCAGGCAATGGCAAATATATCACTAAGTGTGCCTATCTGATTGTTAAAATCATAGCTCTGTTATCTTAAACTATTTCTTCATAAAATTCTAGTATATGGAAGCTGGAAGCTTTCTCAATAAATAAAAAAATATTTGGTTAATCCAGGTTTCCAGAATTTTTAGGAAAAAAATCAGAAATGAGGCCATCAGACCATGGCAAAAATAACATTAAGTGTTTCTATCTAATTATAAAAATTATAGCTCCGTTATCTTGAGCAATTTCTCTATAAAATTTCAATATGTTGAAGGTGAAAACTTCCTCAATAAATAAAAAAAAATTTTGGTTAATCCAGGTTTCTAGAATTTTTAGAAAAAAATCAAGAATCAGACCATCAAGCCATGGCAAAGATATCACTAAGTGTGTTTATCTGATTGTAAAAATCATAGCTCCGTTATCCTAGGCTATTTCTCTATGAAATTTCAGTATGTTGAAGCTAAAAGCTTCCTTAATAAACAAAATAATATTTCGTTAATCCAGGTTTCTAGAATTTTTAGGTAAAAAATCCGGAATGAAACCATCAGGCCATGGCAAAGATATCACTAAGTGTGCCTATCTGATTGTAAAAATCATAGCTCCGTTATCCTGGGCTATTTCTTCATAAAATTTTGGTATGTTGAAGCTGAAAGCTTCCTTAATAAATAAAAAAAATTTTGGTAATTCAGGTTTCCAGAATTTTTAGAGAAAAAAATCAGGAATGAAACTATCAGGCCATGGCAAAGATACCACTAAGTGTGTCTATCTGATTGTAAAAATCATAGCTCCGTTATCCTAGGCTATTTCTCAATAAAGTTTTAATATGTTGAAGCTGAAAGCTTCCTAAATAAATAAAAAAAAATTTGGTAATTCAGGTTTCCAGAATTTTTAGAGAAAAAAATCAGGAATGAAACTATCAGGCCATGGCAAAGATACCACTAAGTGTGTTTATCTGATTGTAAAAATCATAGCTCCGTTATCCTAGGCTATTTCTCAATAAAGTTTTAATATGTTGAAGCTAAAAGCTTCCTTAATAAATAAAAAAATATTTGGTTAATCCAGGTTTCCAGAATTTTTAGGAAAAAAATCAGAAATGAAACCATCAGGCCATGGCAAAGATATTACTAAGTGTGTCTATCTGATTGTAAAGATCATAGCTCCGTTATCCTAGGCTATTTCTCCATAAAATTGCATTATATTGAAGCTAAAAGCTTCCTTAATAAATAAAAAAATATTTGGTTAATCTAGGTTTCAAGAATTTTTAGGAAAAAAATCAAGAATGAGGCCATCAAGCCATGGAAAGATATCACTAAGTGTGTCTATCTGATTGTAAAAACTATAGCTCCGTTATCCTACGCTATTCCTCTATGAAATTTCAGTATATTGAAGCTTAAAGTTTCCTTAATAAATGAAAAAATATTTGGTTAATCCAGGTTTCCAGAATTTTTAGGACAAAAATCAGAAATAAAACCATCAGGCCATAGCAAAGATACCACTAAGTGTGTCTATCTGATTGTAAAAATTATAGGTCCGTTATCCTGGGCTATTTCTCCATGAAATATCATTATGTTGAAGCTAAAAGCTTCCCTAATAAATAAAAAAATATTTGAATAATCCAGGTTTCTGGAAGTTTTAGAAAAAAAATCAAGAACGAGGCCATTGGGCCATGGCAAAAATACCACTAAGTATGTCTATCTGATTGTAAAAATCATAGCTCCGTTATCCTGGGCTATTTCTCCATGAAATATCAGTATGATGAAGCTAGAAGCTTTCTTAATAAATAAAAAAATATTTGATTAATCCAGGTTTCTAGAAGTTTTAGAAGAAAAATCAAGAATGAGGCCATCAAGCCATGGCAAAAATACAACTAAGTGTGTCTATCTGATTGTAAAAATCATAGCTCCGTTATCCTGGGCTATTTCTTCATAAAATTTTGGTTTGTTTAAGCTGAAAGCTTCCTCAATAAATAAAAAAATATTTGGTTAATTCAGGTTTCTAGAATTTGTGGAAAAAAAATCAAGAATGAAACCATCAGGCCATGGCAAAGATACATTAATTAGATCCCAATATTTCAAACATTTTTTACTGTTCAGTGGCTGATAAATTACAATAAAATTGTAATGTGGATCGCTATCCTCTCCTTACATGTCAGATATGAGAAATGACACTTTTTCGCTGGTCGCCACAAATGTGGCAGAAATTCTTGAGATTTTTAGGGACACTAAGAATAGCAAATCTAGTGGGTATGATAACATATCAGTAAATCTACTAAAATCCTTACCTGAGATTGCACTTTACGTGTTGGCTGAGTGCATTAATATATCTTTTTTAACTGGAGTGTTTCCTAACGCTCTCAAAAAAGCAATTGTTATCCAATTACATGAGGGTGGT